GTCGGTTTTAGCATTTCTCTAAATTGGCAAGTGTTAGCACATCAGTGACTAAGATATGTCAACTTATATGTAGCTGATAGGCATTGATCAACAGGGAATTATTTCCTGTCTAATATTGACTTTTAATACAGAACTGTGCCCCTGCAAAGATAATGATATAACATGGGTATTAATATTTGTGCTAGGTATTTGCATTGTTATGTATCATTTGTTGGTAATTAGCCTGAGGATGCTGAATCAAGTTGGGTCGTGGATAATAGAGAGTTTCCGTTGCCGGTGAGATACGCCGGCTAGATTAATACGTCATCGGTTTGTGCGCACTTGTGACGTTCACCGCATTCATATACCGTCGTCCAATCTAGTCTGCGGAATACAAGCGCTCCTATCTAGCCAGTGAGGAAGATTATTGAAAATAGTTATTAAAGGTTATGTTTGCTAATTTTTATGACTTACATACTTTTTTACCATAGTTCAAGTGTATGTTCATGCAAATTTCGACTTTTTAAGAGAGAGGAGGCGCTAATTTTGGTTTATCAGGCACGTAGTCGGGGGTTGATCTTACTAACCGCCATATTTGTCGGGAAAAATTGCTATTTTGGGTAATATTTGTCTCCTTTTTCATAAAAAAGAATCTTCACCTTGGAAATAGATGGCTAAGGGGTCGTATATTGTTAATTATATTGGAATGAGCGGGGCGGGAAGCGCCAGCATTCTGGGACTTTACCGGAACGAGAAAAGAGTAGCGCGTTACTAGATACATTTGTATATACGTAACAATCTAGCCGTCGTATCCCACCTGCACCGGAAACTCTCTAATATGGTGAAGTTGAATGTGTTTTTTCACTGACAGAAAAGGGTGTGTGTGTTTTTTTTTTTTTTTTTTTTTTTTTTTTTGGGGGGGGGGGTGCTATGCGTGTACCAGTATATATGATGTATGTGTGAGAGAGAGAGAGAGAGAACTCAGTGGGCAAAAGAAAGAAGCAAAATTAGAAAAGAGAGAGAGACTGTTATACATCAACTTCAATGGCTTTTCTGGCATCCCTGGGCATCCACCAGTGCCACGTTGGCCAAACATTGCCCCACATTGCTGAATGGTTAAGTGTACTACAGATGCCTACGTAATACCTTGAAAAAGCTTACCACTTTAGTGCAATTAAGCAGATTACCTCCAGTCCCTGCATGTCTCTAATGGAAAAGAATCAATGAAGAAGGAAGTCATGAGATTGCATGATCTGTCAAGCAGAAATTTCTGAAACGTTTCTGAAAAATTGGATTGCCACTGTGATGGTATTGGGTTATCATAAGCATGATTTTATTGGAGTTTTTGGACCCTCGGTTTCTTGGCACAGAGAGTTCCTAGAAATAGCTTTGACCATAGGGTAGAGAGAAATGATGCGTGGGTAAAACTGAAAATCTTTAAGTAAGTTGGTCAACTTGGTCAGATTGTAGCAGTGACTGGATCTTTTCAGTGGGTGAAAGTTATCTGTCTTTCAGATAAATAATTTTTTAAAAAATTGAAATATATTTTTTTATGTAGCATTTGAGATGCTTTTAGTGTTCAGTTTTGTTTCTATCACTCGGTAGGAATCTTCTAATTTCAAGACTTTTTAAAAATTACATTTTCAGGTGAAATTCACAATTTGCCCCCACTGACAAAATCGAGTCACTACCGTAAATCCACATCTGGGTCCCCTCGCCATCTCTCTATGGGGTCACAGGCATCCCCAGGGTAAATTATACTCTGCATTTGTAGAAGTTTCTACTCCTCCCTTCTATCAAAAAAGTCACATTTGATTATGTCGTTCCAATGGATATACTTTATGGCCAATAACCAATCAAACTTTCAATAATATTGGTTTTGAAGTCCAAGAATCTTTGGGTGTTAATCTGACTATTTATTTATTTATTTATTTATTTATTTATTTATTTATTTTGGTGATCTTATTGGAAGTCACTTCCATTCCCAGACATACTTAATGAAATTAGAATTTAAACTAACTTGAAGACCACTGTTATCAGGGAGAGAAGATGAGTCAGCGGCTTACACAGAGAGATCAAATGGTACCCGTCTTCCCCCAGTGTGCTTATTGGGTAATACAGCTAGATATCTCTATTATCTGAGACCAGGTCTTGTTGTTACACCAGTCCCTAAACATCAACACTATCAAATGTTCGCTTTGGGATTGTTCAGATTCCCGTAAGACTCATGTTTAGAATTGTTCATGGACCCAGTTTCACAAATAAGAACAACTTAAGGTGGAAAAGTTGTCTCAACTTTTAGGCCAATGTTTTACTGTGTTCTGATCCAAGATTGAACAGTATTAAGTCCATTTACATGAAGTATTAGGCCTGTTTTGCAAACAGAAAGACATGATTAGTGATTATATATATTCTTGTGGTCTGCATCAGATTAATCCTGATATTTAAGCATTTGGTCTTATAGTTAGACCAACTTTTTTGTCTTAGATATGTTTTGAAACTGGCCTTGGTATATTTCAGTACTACTTAAATTGTACATTTTTAAAAATTATTTAAGAAGGTGGGGGCCAGAAACTTTGTGGTAAAACCAAAGTATGTGTGATGTATACATTACTACCAAGTCAGGGGCGGATCCAGAGATATTTTCTGACAGTCTTCCAAATTATTTTTGTTAATCCATCCTCCATTTTTGACCGTCTTCCGACAGAAAATATTAGATACCCGTCAATGTAAACTTTAAAATCTGACCGTCTTCCGGAAGACCCAGAAGACGGCCTAAATCCGCCCCTGCAAGTTGCCATAAGTAGTGTGAAGGAAAGAAAGTACATGTGGCCTTTAACTGTTAAAAACAAGGGTGAATTAATCTGGATAAGTTTACTCCAATAGCACTTCCAGTATTGAGTAAAAGTGCATTACATGTGATATTTGGTGGGGAAGAGGTTGTCCTCTATAATAAAACATACTGTCAAACATGGTGCTGTAGATGAAATGAGAAGTGACTGTGTAATGAAGAGCCCAGGTAGTGCTGGTATTTCACATTACATTGGATGAAAGTGTTCAGCATTATACAAAGTTTTTCAGGGTTGTGCCTTATTTTCAGGATTTTCAGTTTTATTTATTTATTTATTTTATTTTTATTTTTTTCACATAGTCTAAATGCAGTGAGATACNATGTTGAGCACACCTATTAAGCATTATATCTTATTACGTAACAATTACATAATAAAATAAGGATATGAAATGAAGAGCTGTTGAAATTAGCTTTCTATTGATATGTAACATGTTGGTATATCTTGGCCGGTTTAGAAGATAGCTACCCCTGTTATCTACATCCTTAAGATGGAAAAGTTGTCTCAACTTTTAGGCCAATGTTTTACTGTGTTCTGATCCAAGATTGAACAGTATTAAGTCCATTTACATGAAGTATTAGGCCTGTTTTGCAAACAGAAAGACATGATTAGTGATTATATATATTCTTGTGGTCTGCATCAGATTAATCCTGATATTTAAGCATTTGGTCTTATAGTTAGACCAACTTTTTTGTCTTAGATATGTTTTGAAACTGGCCTTGGTATATTTCAGTACTACTTAAATTGTACATTTTTAAAAATTATTTAAGAAGGTGGGGGCCAGAAACTTTGTGGTAAAACCAAAGTATGTGTGATGTATACATTACTACCAAGTTGCCATAAGTAGTGTGAAGGAAAGAAAGTACATGTGGCCTTTAACTGTTAAAAACAAGGGTGAATTAATCTGGATAAGTTTACTCCAACAGCACTTCCAGTATCGAGTAAAAGTGCATTACATGTGATATTTGGTGGGGAAGAGGTTGTCCTCTATAATAAAACATACTGTCAAACATGGTGCTGTAGATGAAATGAGAAGTGACTGTGTAATGAAGAGCCCAGGTAGTGCTGGTATTTCACATTACATTGGATGAAAGTGTTCAGGATTATACAAAGTTTTTCAGGGTTGTGCCTGATTTTCAGGATTTTCATTTTTTTTTCCACATAGTCTAAATGCAGTGAGATACCATAAGCAAAGTTTTCAGGATTTTCAGTTACAACTTTCACCCATAGATGTGTAATTTAGGGTTTCAATTTTTTAAAGGGGAATAGTAGGTAATATCAAGGGATTATTTTTGTGAAATTCATTGAAGTACAGAATAAAGTAAAATAATGAGTTCTGATCAAACGTTGTTTGTTTAGCGCCTTGAAGGGTGGATCCATATCTGTATAAAAATTTGCACAAAATTTTTTTCCTTTTTTTTTTTAAACAAAAATTCCAGACCTTATCAAGCATAAAATCAAGTAACACAACGTTGTTCATCTCCATTAGAGTAAATGCCTGTAAACCTTCTTGGGGAAGCCACATTGCCTTTCAGAAAATTTAATTGCTGATCATTTGGAAGGGTTTCTCTTAAACCCCTAGACATTGGGGAAGGTTAAGTCAATTTCCTTTCTAATCACTTCTCTCTGGGGTTCCCTGTTCTTCAGTTCAGGAATACATTTAGACTGATAGTCTCTGCCGAGTGTTAAGTTCATAGAGATCGATTTCCTAGTGACATTGAATATGAACTTTCACTTTACTAGGTAAATAACATTTCATTCTCGGTAGTCTCAATACAATTTAAAGCCAGTTCAAAAGCAAAATAAAAAGATAAACCCAAAATTCAGATTATAATTAATGTAAACTAAGGAGTACAATTTTGAATTTTAAATTGGTGTATTTGGTGATAATTCCATATTAAGGTATTATATCACCAGGCACTTTAAGCATCTCTTTACATTCTGATCATTTGTGCTTGTTTATGAGAAAAAATACAAATATAAGGTCTAGTTCAAAAATTAGAACCAGATTGCTTTGCTGCAGGTTACTGATAGTCCACATTAACCATTAGAAGGTTTTTTTCCATATTATGACATTATGTTGCATATGTAGTCTCTACTCAAACCTGCAAGATTCTGGGTCAACAGGTGTGACCGTGTGTTACCCTTTTAATATTTTCTTTATATTTTCAGGTCCCATCCATTGTTCACTCAATCTCGGATGCAGATATTTTAGCCTTTCGCCAGCAGACGCAGTTCTTGTGGGAAACTTACTTCTCCTCTGTGGACAGTATGGTGCAGACTGTGCTGGAGGTAATGACGAGAGAGAGAGAGAGAGAGAGAAAATGGTCCAAGTTGTGTGTGTGTGTGTGAGAGAGAGAGAGAGAGAGAGAGGAGGAGGAGAATGGTCCAGTTTGTGTGTTTGTGAAAGAGAGAGAGAGAGGGATGTGGGTAGAAGAAAGACAGAGAATGAGGAGAAAAAGGGGGAAGAAAAAGAAAAAGTGTGTGTTTATGTGTGCGTGGAAGAGGGAGAAAGAGATATGGCCCAAACTGAGAGAAAGAAAGAGAGAGAGTGGGATAGACGGTACAATCCAAATAGTGTGTGGGAGAGAGAAGACAGACTGCTACATACCAGTGACCATTTTTTACGAAACAGACAGACAGTGAGACAGGCACGCATTACATGTGAGTGGCAGATATAGACAAAGGACAAACAGCATGAAAATTAATGTAAAGGTTAACATACCTACAAGGCTGAATTCTTCAGTTAGTTAATCTTACATGAAATCAGAGGTCTGTTATTCCAAAATGCAGGAAACATTGTACTTCGCATGAATTGAAGTTTAAGAATATGACACACTTTAGAATAGCATGTGTAATTGTTAATTTTAGATGGTGTGTTTGAGAAATTTAAGTTCAATCTATGCTATGCATATGACCATTAGATAAATGTGCAACGAGCATGGTAGTAAACTGCTTTTATTTGTTCTTCTTAATATTATTATATTTCGTGCATTCCAGATCCTGAAAGAGCGCGTCGTTCAGCACAGTGCGCGGACCAGCGTCATCTGGAACAGCACACCTGGAGCCTTCAGTATTCAGACAGACTTCTCTGAAAATTTATCAGACTTCCCATTTTATAATAATATTAATCAGCATAGATTATCCCACAGTATGGTGCTGCCACCTATGTTACCGTTGGCCACAGGGGGGAATTTTACAGCAATAGTGTACGTGACCAACTGCGTAGTGCTTGGTTCCTCGCCTGTGTCCAAGCTTTTGAAAAATTTAGTGAAATCCAGTTTTTTAGCAAAGGTGAGTTAACTTCTTTATTACATTTCAAGACTTGTCTCTCTGTGTACTATGGAATGTGATTTATGCAATTGTTTTATTTTGTTGTGTTGGTTTATTTTTTTATTTTATTATTTTTTTTTTACATAAAAGGAGAAAATGTAGAATTTGATAGTGATAGTTTTTTTATAGTGAAGAGTGAAAAAAAAAAGAGAAAAGAAAATCGAGTGCAGTTTGACTTATAAGTGCTTAAAAAATCCAAAAAAGTAAACTCTTATCTCCCAATATCCGAGTCTTCATTTTGTCTTCATAATAGCTTGTAAATTCTAGCAAGAATTATAAATATTTTCAGATTATAGTGTTATGGAATTGTGATGGCCCTCCTCCAGTGAGAAGTAAGTGGCCTGTCATCCCGAAGGTGCCAATGATTATCAAATCAGTCAAGGTGGGTAGCAGATATCTTGATTTTCTTTTCCTTGGGAGTGGTATCAGTCAAAAGTGTTCCCAGAACAGGTTTAGAAACTTGAAGATATCTGGAAAACGAATGTCAGGCCAAGAACCACTTTTGGAACAGGTTCAAAAGCCTAAAAGTACTTTTATAACAGTTTTTAAAAGCCAAGAACTACTTTTAGAACAAGAATAGAAACCAGAAAGCACGTTTGAAACAGGTCAATTAGTCAAAAGAGCACACCAAAACAGGTTTCAAGTATTTTAAAGCACACGCAAATCACTTCAATTATAAAATTGGGATAAACTAGGCCAGTTGTAAATGTGTCTGTATTCTTCAGTAACAAAAAGAAGCCTTTTAAGTGTTTTCCATAGCTTATGGATGACATGGTGTGCAGATAGTACTCAAATTCCACAGCAGATGTTTTATTACAGTAGCAGCCTCTTAACAATCTTGTACGTATTGTGGTTTTTATTTATTGCCTTTTTTTTCAGACAATCAGTGCCAGGTTTCATCCATGGGAAGAAATCAGTAATCAAGCTGTCTTAAATCTTGATGAAGATGTCATGCTTACAACTGACGAGGTAAAAATACAAAAAAATAAAATGTTTGTGTTTAAGTAAGTGTGTAGAGTGGATAGCGGACTTACAACTTCCAGATATTTTCTTTTTTTTTAATCAGTTTGAAACTCTTAGAGTGGGTTCCCACAGATTTAGATCAATCTATCTGGATCGACCTAACTCCCTAAATTGCTGTCAGCTTCCGGGAGCCGAGCACGCACAAAAGTTAATTACCCCCTTACAGCTTTTAATAGGCAGGACAGACATTAAAGCCAGTTAAGCTGTCAGCAATCTAGTGAGACTCCCCACAGGGATGGATGGATCTAAAATCTGTGGGAATGGGGTCTTATTAACTTAAGTCACAGACCCAGAACCAGTAATGAAACGTGGAACTAAATTAAGTAAGTCAGAGAATTTTGTCTTGTGAAAATAACAGCTCTTAAGATAACAGGAGAAAGGAATGTAACAAGAGTTTTGTTCTAGCAATGATAAGATGACTCTAACCTTGTTAAGTTTCTTTGTAATCAAATAACACAGAAACTCTAAGCAGCCATGAAATGCAATTGTTATTCAATTTAGAGACACTTTTTTTTCTGTTCAAGAGACAAATGGAATTACAATAAGAGCAAGACAGCAAATTTTTATCAAGCAGAATATCAAAGTATCAGTTTAGGCATCTAACTAACAGTTTTGTTACTGTTTCACAGTGAATAATTTGGTTAAATATTCCCTTATGACTGGTCTGCAGTTAACTTATTGTATTTGGTCTAAATCTGCAGATATAAAGAAGCAATTTTAATTTCTTTGTATTCTTCAGTGTTTTGGAAACATGTTTTGTATAAGCCTGCAAAGCAGAAAGGCAATAAAATGACATTACAAAGAGCAGTCTTGTTGTATTTTATTTCATATTATTGGATTTTTTTTATAGGAAAGATACATCTTACATCAGACAAGCAAGTGAAAGGTGTTTTTTTTTTTTTTACTGATTGGGCCCATTCATCTTGTATGCAAGACGCGAAAATAAAAAAAGAGATAACTTTGCATGTTGTGTCATAAATCAATGAATTTTCGTCCCATTAATGATCGTGTTCTGTCTGTCTCTTTTCAGATTGATTTTGCCTTTGTCGTCTGGCAGCATTTCCCAGAGAGGATTGTGGGATACCCAGCTCGTAATCATTTCTGGGACGAGCCTCGCTCTAAATGGGGCTACACCTCCAAATGGACCAATGAGTACTCTATGGTGTTGACAGGGGCAGCGTTTTACCATAGGTCAGTATTAACATCGGGACTATTGGCTGACCAATAGATGATTGACCCTTGGCAGTGGTCACTTTATCTATCTCTAGAGTTTTTCCGGGTCCAGGACCACTAACCCATCATGTCTCCACCCCACCCCCCCAACCCCACCCTTCCCAACCCTTTCTTTGTAAGTCTTCTTCACAGTGGCTGGTCTGACATTGTCACCAGGCAATTGACAGGAATGCATACGAATGCATGTGCATTGTGCGCGCGCACACACACACACACACAAACACACACACACAACAAAAACAACAACAACTTGACAGCATTTTTTTAGGTTGGTTGCTCTCTGCTGTTACATGCGTACAAAAAGAAAAAAAAAGAAATAAGATCAACTGTTTGTACAGGAGACAACTTTGAGGCCATTAAAACCTGCCGAGACATTCATGTGCATGTAATAAATTAAAGCTCTGAAAAGAGAACATCAAACCTCTGAATCTGCTACATGCTTCAGTAGTAATAGGTCATTTCCCATGGGCATTTATGGCTTGATGAACACGCGTAGGCATGTATGGAAATGGTATTGACTTCAAATCTCTTCATTTCCTTTAGCAGTGATGTCTGAGTTTCTCTTCTTTCTTGGGATGCAGAGGAAATGGTTTAAATTTGTCAAGCAGAGGCAACTGCAATGAAGCAACACACATGTTCAATGAAATTTCACTTCGAAAATTAAAAAAAAAGCCAGCCCCCTTCCACTTACATTGAAGTAAAGAGTGGTTGTAACTAAATAACTAAATGGCAAAGAATCTTAAAGGTGGCAAGGAAATTGCTGAAATTTACAAGTGTGTATGGCAGATTCAAAGAGCACATTGTAGTGTAGATTTTGTAACAATGTTTTTTTGTTGAGGGGAAAAAATCATCAATTTGTTAACAGCTGTGAAATGGTGTTAGGAACCAAATGTGAAAAAGGATGAATTCGAAGTTTGGATTCTGTGAGAGAAAATTCATCTGTTCTTGATGAAAATAAGAAATAATTTTTGGGTTGACAAATAGAAGACATTTGACCAGCAATATTTTTGCTGAAAATGGATATAATATCCTTCTTTGCTAAAAGACATATTGATTTTGTCTAAGTTTTCAGACATTTCCCCTAACAGAGGAAATGGGTACTTTGTTCCCCACAGCTGTGGAATTTTTCTTTTAGAAAAAAAAGGAAAACAATGATATGTGTTTGTCTCAAACTAAATAGCTGCCTTTATAAGCATATTGTGGTCCTTTTATTTCGTGATGTGGGAAATACACTACAGACCTGTTTCTTCTTCCCCTTTGAAAAAAAAACATTATGAAAGGAAATGCAAAGATGTTGTGGTTTTTGAGAGAGGAGGTTGTGGTTTAGACCATGTAATATTACTCTGGAGTTATTGTTATTACAGGGCTCTTGAATGCATGTAATTTTTATGTAGGTATCAGACAAGTTTTTTTTTTTGTTTTTTTTTTTTTTTTTCACAATAGAATGGAAAATTCTATGTGGTTGCTTTCAAATGGCATGTGCAGTGTCATTTACTGCTGGTAGTTATTTAACTGATTGTGTTCCTACCTGCAAATATTGTAGATTGAAGATTGAAGGACTATTCATTTTTTTCAGAAGATTAATGTTATGCTTATATATCAGGACATATTAATCTTTTTGTGTGAAGATTAGGATAAGTAAATCTTATTTTATAAAAATTATTTTGCACATGTTATCTTGAAGATCAAGGTAAATGAAAATAAGATTAATTCATTTTGTCCATTTTTAACAATAAAGAGATAATACAGGAATTTGATTATTATTATTATTATTATTATTATTATTATTATTATTATTTGTAGGTATTACAACTATCTGTACACTACTACCCTGCATCCTCTGATGAAGAAAACAGTGGACCAGTGCCAGAACTGTGAGGATATCCTGATGAACTTTCTAGTCAGTCATGTGACCAAGCTCCCACCAATCAAAGTTACCCAGAGAAAACAGTACAAGGAGACCATGTTGCCAAGCAACAACATCAGCAAACAGTCAACATGGCTGGAGGCTGATCATTTCTCACAGAGACAAGCGTGTATTAATACTTTTGTCACAATATTTGGGTATATGCCTTTGGTACGTTCAAACACGCGCCTTGACCCTGTGCTTTTCAAGGATCCTGTGTCAAATTTACGAAAAAAGTATAGACAGATGGAAGTGTTATAGCAGTGGCTTACGCTGGGATAGTTTTTCTAAACATATCTTAAGGAGAGAGATCTGGCTCTGGGAAGTGGTAGCAGTCTAATTCTACTGCTGATTTTTTGATCTGTGGAAATGTTGAAGAGTGTGAGACCATGAACAGCAGGTGGTACATCAAGATAATCTGACCAGATAAATAAGGGAATTTTTTTTCTTTATGATCAGAAGATGTTTGGCTGTCTGACGAGGGGCCATTGACTGATGGTGTATTGGATTTGTTTGGTGTCAGTCACTGCCACTAGGGGGAATTTCTTGCAGCTCAGACCAACCAGGTACCTGTTGCCATTGGCAACATGTCATGTCTTAGAAAACTGGCCAATGAGAAAAGTTGGAAGTAGGTCACTGCCACCAGATGGAGCTTTAATGGTAACTGACCAATAAGTGTTACTGCCTTTGAGATGGAAGGTCACTGCCACAGGAGAGCATTTTATACATACCAGGCCAGTAGAATATTTAGCTGAAATGGACATATTCAAACATATCAACAAAGATGTCACATGGTCCAGGGGTGGTAATGTTCCAGCAAACGATGTAAAGAACTGATGTAAAGATGCTGCAATCACACAACTATTTATCAACAAAACCTTGTAACATACAATAGCATTCACCCTCAGAGCCAATGGACTCCATTTTGGAGTTAAATTTAGTCTATTTTTCATGAACCAAATACATTTATTAGTAAAGGCCCAAATAATACATGCTTTTGTCCCTAACGCCCCTTGTTTGATATCTTTTTGGGAAGATCTGATTTTTTTTTCCTTGATACATTTTGTGCCTTGAATAATTTTTTGCTCGCAAATGATTATTCGTCTTTTCTTACTGAAATGTCACATTAATGAATTGAGGTTAATAATTTTACATGTAAGTGTCATGTTCGCTGATTTTTTTCTTTGTTCATAAAGAAGTATTTGGGATGATTTAACATTGGAGAGGATACAAGCACTCACACCTACTGTGGAACATGCTGTGCATGTTTTTTTTTTTTTTTTTTTTTTTTTTTTTTTTTACAGATGGCCATGTGGACAAACCATTATAGCTGTCACTTGTTTTATTTTCATTTTTGTGATAAAAAAATGGCAAAAAAATTGCTTTTTAGTCCATTTGGTTGAATAGAAATGTTTGCGCTGAAGGCATCAGCATTTTTTAATCTAATTAGGTCAAGGTCATACAGGGGTCACACAAGTGCTCAAGGCCAAGGTCATATGACCAGGGCTGGTCCCAGGTCAACTTTTTAGATTTGTTATACTGCTACTTTGAATTGGCCTTGGATAAAGGCTGTTAGATTAAACAATCCAAGGCCAAGTGTTGTCTTTTTTTGTGGTGATTGATAAGGTCAGCTCTTGCAGGCATCTACTGAAGGTTGGAACAAACAGAGGTGCATTTAATTTTAAAGCTATATAAGTTTCATACCAACACAAGTATTTTATATTATATAATGGGATATGTATTATAAAGTGAGTTTGGATGCTGCATTCACAAATGTATGGTAGGACAGGTACTAGTGAATGGTGTTGATGACAATGTATTTGTGAAAGCGTTATTGTGTATTTTAATTACCAAAATGGCCACAACTGAATGAGCAAACATGGGCTGTCTTCTCATTAGAGAATATTTTTAAAAGCACAGTGGATGGAAGGTGTACTTATAGCTGCGGTTTTATTTGCTTTACAGATATGGCTTATGATAGATATATATAGTGTGATGGCTTGGTAGGACAGCAGATTAGTTTTATATTTAAAAATTTACTTGTAGATAGTGAAAAAGTCAATTCTTCCAGAAAAAATCATGACATTCAAAATGGTACTCTTAACCAAGGCATGTTGGTTTTATCTTGTATATTTTGACAAAATTTTTTTTTGGGGAGTTGGATTTTATGGCGTGTGAAGACAGGGTTTATTTTGGAACGGTTGGTCCGTAGCTGACACAGGAGAAATTATTGAAAACTATACCTGTGATAATTCTTTGGTGCTATTTTAGTGGCTGTTTGTTAAGAAAGATGAATAACAATAACTGAGGATGGAATGAATTAAGAAATAAAGAAGGAAGGGAATTGATTGAAATAAAGGAATTTACTTAAGCCAACTTAGGTTATAAGAGATGATGCTGGCAATTTATAATTGTGCTGTAGAGATTTTAATCATTTTATTGTGTGCAGTCTCCATTTTAGTATTTTATGCTTTCTGGGTTTCACCCATGATTTAATTTGCATTTGTCACTTTTACTTTTACACCTTTAACATAGTTCTCTCTAACCTAATTCATTTCATTTAATGAATGTTGACAGCTTTGTGTCTGATGCTGTCATGGCGGAAATAGAATGGACAGCCATAACGCAACCAGTAAGAACGGTGGTAAGATGTGTTAGGTGTGCTCCTGACATGACACAACTGAAGCAATTGGTTTTTAACACATTGTTTTGTGTGCCAAGTTCAGATAAGNCACAATAGAATGGAAAATTCTATGTGGTTGCTTTCAAATGGCATGTGCAGTGTCATTTACTGCTGGTAGTTATTTAACTGATTGTGTTCCTACCTGCAAATATTGTAGATTGAAGATTGAAGGACTATTCATTTTTTTCAGAAGATTAATGTTATGCTTATATATCAGGACATATTAATCTTTTTGTGTGAAGATTAGGATAAGTAAATCTTATTTTATAAAAATTATTTTGCACATGTTATCTTGAAGATCAAGGTAAATGAAAATAAGATGAATTCATTTTGTCCATTCATTTTTAACAATAAAGAGATAATACAGGAATTTGATTATTATTATTATTATTATTATTATAATTATTATTATTATTATTATTATTATTATTATTATTATTTGTAGGTACTATAACTATCTGTATACTACTACCCTGCATCCCCTGATGAAGAAAACAGTGGACCAGTGCCAGAACTGTGAGGATATCCTGATGAACTTTCTAGTCAGTCATGTGACCAAGCTCCCACCAATCAAAGTTACCCAGAGAAAACAGTACAAGGAGACCATGTTGCCAAGCAACAACATCAGCAAACAGTCAACATGGCTGGAGGCTGATCATTTCTCACAGAGACAAGCGTGTATTAATACTTTTGTCACAATATTTGGGTATATGCCTTTGGTACGTTCAAACACGCGCCTCGACCCTGTGCTTTTCAAGGATCCTGTGTCAAATTTACGAAAAAAGTATAGACAAATGGAGGTGTTATAGCAGTGGCTTATGCTGGGATAGTTTTTCTAAACATATCTTAAGGAGAGAGATCTGGCTCTGTAAAGTGGTAGCAGTGTAATTCTTCTGCTGCTTTTTTGATCTGTGGAAATGTTGAAGAGTGTGAGACCATGAACAGCAGGTGGTACATCAAGATAATCTGACCAGATAAATAAGGGAATTTTTTTTCTTTATGATCAGAAGATGTTTGGCTGTCTGACGAGGGGCCATTGACTGATGGTGTATTGGATTTGTTTGGTGTCAGTCACTGCCACTAGGGGGCATTTCTTGCAGCTCAGACCAACCAGGTACCTGTTGCCATTGGCAACATGTCACGTCTTAGAAAACTGGCCAATGAGAAAATTTGGAAGTAGGTCACTGCCACCAGATGGAGCTTTAATGGTAACTGACCAATAAGTGTTACTGCCTTTGAGATGGAAGGTCACTGCCACAGGAGAGCATTTTATACATACCTGGCCGGTAGAATATTTAGCTGAAATGGACACATTCAAACATATCAACAAAGATGTCACATGGTCCAGGGGTGGTAATGTTCCAGCAAACGATGTAAAGAACTGATGTAAAGATGCTGCAATCACACAACTATTTATCAACAAAACCTTGTAACATACAATAGCATTCACCTTCAGAGCCAATGGACTCCAATTTGGAGTTAAATTTAGTCTATTTTTCATGAACCAAATACATTTATTAGTAAATGCCCAAATAATACATGCTTTTGTCCCTAATGCCCCTTGTTTGATACCTTTTTGTGAAGATCTGATTTTTTTTCCTTGATACATTTTGTGCCTTGAATAATTTTTTGCTCGCAAATGATTATCGTCTTTTTTTACTGAAATGTCACATTGATGAATTGAGGTTAATAATTTTGCATGTAATTGTGTCATGTTCGCTGATTTTTTTTCTTTGTTCGTAAAAAATTTTTGAGATGATTTAACATCAGAGAGGTTACAAGCTCTAACACCTACTGTGGAACATGCTGTGCATGTTTTTTTTTTTTTTATGTACAGATGGCAGTGTGGACAAACCATTATAGCTGTCACTTGTTTAAAGTTCGTTTGTGTGATAAAAAATGGCAAAAAATATTGCTTTTTTAGTCCATTTGGTTTAATACAAATGTTTGCACTGAAGGCATCAGCATTTTTTTTAAATCTAATTAGGTCAAGGTCATACAGGGGTCACACAAGTGCTCAAGGCCAAGGTCTTATGACCAGGGCTGGTCCCAGGTCAACTTTTTAGATTTGTTATACTGAATTGGCCTTGGGTAAAGGCTGTTAGATTAAACAATCAAAGGCCAAGTGTTGTCTTTTTTGTGGTGATTGATTAGGTCAGCTCTTGCAGGCATATACTGAAGGTTGGAACAAACAGAGGTGCATTTAATTTTAAAGCTATATAGGTTTCATACCAACACAAGTATTTTATATTATATAATGGGATATGTATTATAAAGTGAGTTTGGATGCTGCATTCACAAATATATGGTAGGACAGGTACTAGTGAATGGTGTTGTTGACAATGTATTTGTGAAAGCGTTATTGTGTATTTTTTAATTACCAAAATGGCCACAACTGAGTGAGCAAACATGGGCTGCCTTCTCATTATAGAATATTTTTAAAAGCACAGTGGATGGAAAGTGTACTTATAGCTGCGGTTTTATTTGCTTAACAGATATGGCTTATGATAGATATATATATATAGTGTGACGGCTTGGTAGGACAGAAGATTAGTTTTATATTAAAACTTTTACTTGTAGATAGTGAAAAAGTCCATTCTTCCAGAAAAAATCATGACATTCAAAATGGTACTCTTAACCAAGACATGTTGGTTTTATCTTGTATATTTTGACAAAATTTTTTTTTTCGGAGTTGGATTTTATGGCGTGTGAAGACAGGGTTTATTTTGGAACGGTTGGTCCGTAGCTGACACAGGAGAAATTATTGAAAACTATACCTGTGATAATTCTTTGGTGCTATTTTAGTGGCTGTTTGTTAAGAAAGATGAATAACAATAACTAAGGATGAAATGAATTAAGAAATAAAGAAGGAAGGGAATTGATTGAAATAAAGGAATTTACTTAAGCCAACTTAGGTTATAAGAGAAAATGCTGGCAATTTATAATTGTGCTGTAGAGATTTTAATCATTTTATTGTGTGCAGTCTCCATTTTAGTATTTTATGCTTTCTGGGTTTCACCCATGATTTAATTTGCATTTGTCACTTTTGCTTGATTTTACTTTTACACCTTTAACATAGTTCTCTCTAACCTAACTCATTTCATTTAATGAATGTTGACAGCTTTGTGTCTGATGCTGTCATGGCTGAAATAGAATGGACAGCCATAACGCAACCAGTAAGAACGGTGGCAAGATGTGTTAGGTGTGCTCCTGACATGACACAACTGAAGCAATTGGTTTTTAACACATTGTTTTGTGTGCCAAGTTCAGATAAGCGTTGTCATTTTTTTTTAACTTCTAGTAGCCAAAAATATCCTACTGTTATGATGATTGATTATAGTAATTGCATAATAAGTTCACAATTTATACACAACTCTGAGGCCTTATTTGCTTTTTTGAAAATCAGTTATCTTTTAGGTTGGGATATTTTAGGATTTGTGACGTGTTTGTTGTCCATTTCGTCAAACTGTGTCTCATTGTTTTAAATGTACGCAGGTCCCATGTTTCTTGTCAGTTGCCATTTTTCGATGTGGATAGTTATTTATCTGAAACATTTGTTGCATTGATTCTACGAGGAATCTCAAAAAAGGATATTTTTCAGTGATGTTAAAAAAATGATCTGATAAATCTCACAGTTCCAGAGATCTTGCACTCACTAGATCTCTTATTGTGAGGTGGCTTTGTGATGTTGAAGAAATCTGGGGCCTGTGTACATTTAGGCGTTTTGATAGTCGTACATTTTGGGTGAAAATGATTCATTTTATATCACTCACTCATTCAGCGTTTCCAATGTTGCAGAGAACATTTTTAGCATTGTAGCCGCACGAGAAATGTCAATTGTATATGCTCTATTAACATGTACATAAGAAGTTGCTACCAGGTATTTATTTGCTTGTAATAGAGGCTGTGAATGAAATTGTGCAAACTTCCTGAGGTCAAATTCGGGAGGGAATTTCTCATAATCGAATAAAGATTTTTGACATAATGAATGACTCTATACTTCTCTTTAAAAAACCTATCAAGTTCATGATTATTTGCATTAACGTTTTACCGAAGGTGGCATTCGCGTAGTGAGTAAACCAAGACAATTGGCCATTAATTCCTGCAAATTGTTTCACCTTTTTTAATGTGATTTTTATCAAGGTAACATCCTGGGATGTTTTTGTTTCTACCTCAAACTTTTCCATTCTGTGATACCATAAGAACTTCGTTGCTTTTCGTATCCACTTGCTTCACGCTCTCGTCTGTGACGTCAAAATCGTCATCAATGTCAAGGTCCCGCCTACAGCACGTGTTCCACGGCGGCAGTTCGTCCGCTAGAGCGCGGTTTTTGGTTTCCGGAAGAAGGAGTCCAAGAAAAGCCCCTACCAGACTACAACTTCCCAATACTATAAATGGTAGGGCCGGAGAGACTTTGCTCTGAAATATTATGTAGGGACAACCAGTTGCACACGCTCTCCAATATTTGATCATTATGTTTTCGCTTTTGTGATATATCGTTTATGGTCAATATAAAAATTGACTATTAACCAATTGCTTAACTCACACTGATCAAGCTGACAAAGTTTGCCCTTACTTTTTTTCTGAAAACTTGAAATATCACTTTCGTTAGGCTATGTTAAATAATTATCTGATTCGACTAAGACATTAAATTTTTCGCTTATGTATTTATATATCTGAAATATGGACATATTTTTAAAATGAAACCAAGTGGTTAATTTAAATCGAAACGAAGTAAAAAAAAGTGAAAAAGGTAGCAAAGACTTCACTTGTTCTTTGAGACAGTATACCTACTAGATATGACACTTGTGGAGCAACCACTCCTCCAAGACGACCAGAAAATGCTGCCGCCCCACACCCGATTGTCCTGTAATAAAATGCGCGCGCACGTTTAGTTAAATAACACGTGTTTTTATTCTGGTGGCCATATCATACTCGACAGCTTCTCACTCTACATATTGAAACGAGATTTGAGAGTTTGAATGTTTTGCAGTTCAACTGATTTTTTTCCTTTTTTTTTCCTCATTGGTTTAAAGATAATAAAGATTTGTCGTTATAAGTATACAGAAAGAACAGCAATAGGTGATACAAAATAGAAGGCACCGTTTTAAGCCCCCTCAATACCTGTATGCCAAAACGTTCGCCAGGCCTGAGTTTCAAAGTATTTATTAAATCTTCTGTAATAAGCACGCCGCTTGCCGTTTTCAGTAACACAAAGGCCATAATGATCGATGGTAGAGGTAAGTATCCAGCAAACTCTTTAACTCGGAGTGCTCTACCAAGGTATTAAATCTTAATAAATTTACTATGTACTAATCCCACTTAATTAACCCTGTGTGTGTGTGGGTGTGTGTGTGTACGTGCGCGCGTGTGAGTGTTAACGTGCGTCTGTGTGTCACTCCTCTGCTCCAGTACTCTACCAAGATATTCAATCTAAATATATTTATTTGATATTAACCCCACGTAATTAACGCTGAATTTTTGTGTATGTGTGAGCGTGCGTGTAAGTGTTAACGTGCGCGTGTGTGCGTGTCAGTCAACTGCATCACAAGAGGCACCAACCTGACAACTGTTGGGAAGAGTTCAGCAGTAAATAGCCAGCCCACGGCCCAAGCCCCGGCCACACCTGCCTTACCAACCAACGCCAACGCCGTTACCAGACCGCTCAGCTCTTCGGTTTTACCTGTGGACAAGGGATTCTCAACGTAAACAGTTTAATTTTAAACGTAAAAAAAATCTGAAAATAGTAGTAGTAGCAGTAGTAGCAGCAGTAGTAGCAGCAGTAGACGTAGTAGTAGTAGACGTAGTAGTAGTAGTAGTAGCAGTAGTAGTAGTAGTAGTAGTAGTAGACGTAGTAGTAGTAGTAGTAGTAGACGTAGTAGTAGTAGTAGTAGTAGTAGTAGTAGTGGTGGTGGTACAGTGGTATCAGCAGCAGTTCTATCATTATTTCAAAATATCCATTAGTTTGGTTCAATCGTAAATAATAAGTATTAAGCCCAAGCTGGAATTTGTCCTCACCGTTAGCTTGTTGATGATGTTTATATGTTTAAAGATTAGAACATCTCACCTGCAACATTCACGAACATGACGGAAAACGTGAAAATCCCTCCAGCAAGCATGAACCCAAAATGCGTGAAACGACGACCAATCCTAGAAAAATTAGTAGAATGATGGAAAAACTGAATATCTTGACAAAGGTAAATGCTATTCCTTCAGAAAAAATATCTGTTTATTCATTGTCAGGTGAACATTATAACTTAGGTGTACATTATAACTAAGGCGTACATTATAACTGAACCACCTTAACGCAAATCTAACTAGGCCTGGTATTTGTGAAAGTTGCATTTGGTTGCTTATCATATTCACCCTGAACTTCAGAATATACTGGAAACTAAACTCTATCATCATCTTGTCTCTGTAGTTACAGTTATCTCAGGGTAGTTATACCTCACTGATAACACGTTATTGGTAAGTGAGGAACACAAAAGTGTTTGTCATTTTTAAAACACAAGTTGACTTATGAAAGAACTAAAAATCTTTCCTAACGTCAAAGTCACTGAATGACCAACTTTATCAGCGATACTTCTTCTTGTTTCAAGACATTAAATTACTTGGACGCCATCCTAGGCTAAGTTACATTATCTCTAATGTTTACTTGGAATGGAACTCACTTGTTGTTAAGAAACACTATCGCCACATTCACTGGCCATTCCAACATGACAAGTAGTGTGGTGTTCACATATATATCTCCTGGCATGTTTTTAACGTTAAGAGAAAGGCCATAATAGGTGGCGCTGTATATAAACCTGAAAACGAAAGTGAAAGTGCAAGCGAAATTGATACAGTGCGGGTGGCTGATTTTCTGACTTAGTTCACAGAAATGTTTCAAGCATTAATATTTATGTAAGCTTATTTATTGTCTTTACATGTGTTATATAACGCATCAACGGATGCCTGTCAACAACGTGCAACTCCCAACCTTCAACGATTTTAATATACAACCTTCAAAATGTAATGCCGCCACCTCGAACAAATTGACAATACAATGCACAAAACTTAACACATAACGTAATTTGGATGAAAGCAAAAACAGACGTGAGTCTAGAGAACGGGATGAAACCATGTCTACAACAATAGTTTATAATATTAATTTGATTCTTCAATTTTTATTTTATAATCCGAACACTTACCAATTATACATCAAGACTAAAGTGCACCTGGTGAGAAGCGGCGTCCTAAACAAGTCCCAGTAACTATATTTCCTGAGTGACGATTTTTCCTCATCTGCAGCTGGCTGCAAATTTAAATATATATTAGAAACATTTCATGGATATCAAAGAAGCTAATCACTTTCTGAGCACTTCTGAATTAGATTTAGATTTTAATTGTCTAAGGTAAGCATTGAAAGTGGGCCCCTGTCAGGTAAAATATTGACACTGAAAGGTTAAAAACCTTTTCATGGCGTCCTCTGCAGACATGTGTGGCGCCAAGCGCGCCACGCGCCGGTGCACATAAATGCGGCAGGGGCCGTCAAGATTGTTATGAACGAAGGAATGACGAGGTTCCAGTGCCGTTATAGTCCACAACATCTTTACAAAATTATGTTATGGTGGCAGCGGTGGGATTCGAACCCACGCCTCGATGAGACTGGTGCCTAAAACCAGCGCCTTAGACCACTCGGCCACGCTACCGGTCCCTTACTGTGTTATAGACTCATTAATAGAACATTCATAAACAATTTTGAGCGTATACTTTGTTATACCATGCCATACCAAAACAAACCAAACAAAACAAAACAAACCATATTATACCATACCATACCATGCCATAACACACCACACCATACCGTACTGTACCATACCATAATGTTCCATACCATACCATACCATACCATAACACACCACACCGTACCGTACTGTACCATACCATAATGTACCATACCATATACCATGCCATGCTGAACCGTACCGTACCGCGCCATACCATACTTAACCGTACTGTGCCGTACCATACCATAAAGCATACCTCTGAGTCACCCAGCATAAGGTCAGGCATCGGGTGGTCTTCCTCCGAGGTGGACAAAGTTGCCAGAACTTTCTTTGCTTCCTCCAGCTTGTTATGAGTGGCAAGCCATCGGGGACTCTCCGTCAGAAACCTGAAATAATAATCCACTTGGTCCGAGGCCTAGGCGGATAGACCGAGTTTCAGAGACAACTGTGACTACAGTCTCACTTATTATTAGCGAAGAATTTAGAACCGAAAGATGATATTGACTCTTAAGATGTAACAACTCTTGTTTTTGGCGAGAAAAGTACCGGTACCATAAAACGGACGTTCCTGTGATAAACGGCGATGCTCTCATACTTGCCATTGGTTAATGAGTCCGTTTTTTATACCAACCTGTAGGAAAACCACAGAGCTACGGTAGGCACCAGTGACGTCACCATCAGCAGTGTCTTCCAGTCCCGGATGAAGTAGGCCACCAAAGCGAGGCTCATTACGGCAACTTGCCAAAAGTTGATGGCACCCCCTAGAACCCGCCATTTCATGCCGATGAATTCGACGGGCCAAATGAAATTCAGGTTTCCGAGACCTTTGATGATGAAATAGAGACTGAAATTTGACCTGTTCATTCGGTTATTTATTAATTAATTAATTTATTTATTTATTTAAGTTGTTTATGAGGGTACCATTGGGTATTTTTGTTACTCGTGAAGGCCACTTTTTATTTCCAGCTGCGGTAAGCATTATCCGTGACGCATCCTATAGCCATGACTTGTGAATGCGGCTTTTTTAGTCTTCGTCTTTAATACGTAAAAAAAATCATTATACTCGGTGATTTTTGATTTTCAACTCGCGTTCTCAATGAGATACAAATTAAGTTTCTATACTGTGGTTGGTGAAATGAAGATTTTATTTCCCGGTAACTGTGATCACAACCTCAACCCCCTCCACCCCCATGGAACCTTCGTTTATTACTCACCACCAGCGCATATTCCACTGAAGAAACGTATAGCGGCGTAAACCTCCCAACGGGGTGCGAAAGCACTGGCGAAACCGACCACCGCGTTCACCGTGATAGTGGTAAACCAGACCGGCTTCCGGCCAAATGTATCTGCCAGCTGACTGATCAGGACCGCCCCCACCGCAATCCCCGCCATCTGTATTGACGTTATCAGGTCGCTTATACCGTCAAGATTGCAAACCAGATTCCACTGAAATCAAAGGAAATTAATTCGTTAATTCGTTGTTTATTGTCATTATAATAAAGTGAAAGAAATCGGAGCAGGATATCTACGGCCGCATTCAGATTCACACATCCTATCAACTCTGCGGGGGATTCTCCCTAAAGTGCAATCAGTGAAAAAGGAAATAACAAACGGACTACGTACAGTTCTTAGTGGACTCCATCTACCATTAATTCCTGTCAAACCGCAGCGCCAGAGCTTTTACCTCTGATATAATGGAATGAGACCTATCCGCATATCTATAGCCTGGGCATATCAACCCATCAGCCCCACACGCGTTCTGTAGGTAACCCATCGCCGTCCCATTCCCCGTCACGTTCAACCCATCCGTGGTCGCTGTAGTCCACGTGCTGCGTACCACATCGTCTCCCGCCACCGCTGCCGTTGGAGTGAGCCCCGTGGCGTTGTAACTGGCGATGGAGGGTGACGGACACTTCCAGGTAGGGTGTGTCCCAATAAAGATTGGAATCATGATCGTCCATGCCGTCACGTAGTCGCATAAGTTGACCACGGCGAATATGCCGAATTGGCGCGGACCAAATCCCTCTGAAGAATGGAAAATTGTATTAAACTATAAGTTAATAAGAAAGAGAATATATATAAATGTCACAAAATCTGCATCTGTATCTGTGTCAAATGTTTACGTACGCGTGGCCCTATAATTTGACGGCCTGGATAGCAGTTTGTTTACCTTGCTTTGTTTGGCATCCCATTTGGATTAGGTGCCTCATACTTCATCATGACAACGCACTTGCTCACGGTTCTCGTATGGTATGTGATTCGTTGCAGCAACACAATGTTCTGAGGATGGAACAACCATCTCTGAGCTCTGTTACTTACTCTACTGAAAATCTGTGGGATGGATCAGGGCACTTAAATAAACTTGGCCAACTCCGTCAAGCTCTTCCGGAAGAATGGACAAATACCCGAGAAAACACATGTGTAAACCTTGTTTAAGCCATGCGCCGCCTACAAAAGATCATTGCAGGACGCGTGGACAAATGTCATTGGAAATCATATTCTGATGCAAACTTTGTATTATTTTGGTGACATTTGGTGGTGTCTTTCTTATTTTTATGGATAATTTTACTTTTGTCAGAATCACAGTGGAACATAGTTAAAGGGCGTGGATGTTTTTAATTTGTTTGATGATATAAAATATGGATATCTAACCGACATTTTTATTTTTTGTTCCTTTAGTCATATTATATATTTAGATATGGTATCTGGCATTAAAAGAAAAAAATTTAAAATGGTTTATAGCTGGCGTGTAATTATTTATATAAAAAAAGAAATATTGGAATTAGAGGTGTGACAGCCTTTTTGATAAAGCGTATATAAATAATTTTACATGTAATTACGCTACGAGGGATTTACTCGCTTTCGCAAGTTCTACCGTTTTTTTTTTTTTTTTTTTTTTTTTTTTTTTTTTTTTTTTAAGTAAATCATTAGTTTTTGAGTCGAGCGCATGCTGCATGCTGCTCAGGATGCGTTTACAATGAAACTATTGTTCTAGGCAGTTCGAACTAATTCCGCGGGGATTCTCGCTGAATGCAATCAGATTAACAAATTAGCACGACTACTCTGGTTTCCAAAATACTAGTATAATGACCAGAGTTCTATTTATTTATTTATTTTTATTTATTTATTTATTTTTTGTATTCTACCCAACGCCAGTAGGAGACGTGTTAATCTGTTCATCTGATTGCATTCAGCGAGAGTCCTGGCGGAGTTTGAATTACGTAGTACGATAGTTTCATTGTGAACGCTCCCTTGGTTGTCAGTTTCTCGGAGTGGATCGGTCCAGTTAAGTATACCGTACGATGTGAAGAGAGCCACAGCTACACTGTAACGGTATCTGTGTAAGTAAGTAAGTTAGTAAGTAAGTAAGTAAGTACGTATAAGTATGACCTTGTATCCCGAGATAACCATATAAACAGCTTTAATATATATCTGGTCTGGGGCAGGAATCTTCTGATAACTAAGGGACCATACACAATGAGTTAGGTCGCGATAGCTACTGTGCACGAACTCCAAAGGGACTTTTGCAATTAATATTTTTCTATAACTACCCCTGTGCGATAATTGTCGGCTTCTTTAGAAAGAAAAGTGAACAGGCACACGTGTTTGTTTTAGGTGGTTAACATCTAATGGCTTTCACCTTCGTGTGGTATTCATGTAATTATATAACAAGTTTGTCGTTACACAGATAAAGCTGCTATGTTGTAGGTAAATGTATGTAAAACGTATTAGGGCCGTCCAGTACGGGCACCTGTACATTATACATTATAACTTACATTGTTAAATGAATGCATTACCAGAATGTCGAAACAAAACCTTACGCGCGTTTCTTGGTTGACAGAAATTTATGAACCGCATGAATGCAATCCTCTCTGACCAGTGTGCTGATCCTTTTACTGACCTCACGACCCAAAAGGATGAGTGCGAATAACNGGAATGACGAGGTTCCAGTGCCGTTATAGTCCACAACATCTTTACAAAATTATGTTATGGTGGCAGCGGTGGGATTCGAACCCACGCCTCTATGAGACTGGTGCCTAAAACCAGCGCCTTAGACCACTCGGCCACGCTACCGGTCACTTACTGTGTTATAGACTCATTAATAGAACATTCATAAACAATTTTGAGCGTATACTTTGTTATACCATGCCATACCAAAACAAACCAAACCAAACAAAACAAACCATATTATACCATACCGTACCGTACCGCACCATACCATACCATACCATACCATACCATACCATACCATACCATACCATAACACACCACACCGTACCGTTCTGTACCATACCATAATGTACCATACCATACCATACCATAACACAACACACCGTACCGTACTGTACCATACCATAATGTACCATACCATATACCATGCCATGCTGAACCGTACCGTACCGCGCCATACCATACTTAACCGTACCGTACCGCGCCATACCATACTTAACCGTACTGTGCCGTACCATACCATACCATACCGTACTATAAAGAATACCTCTGAGTCACCCAGCATAAGGTCAGGCATCGGGTGGTCTTCCTCCGAGGTGGACAAAGTTGCCAGAACTTTCTTTGCTTCCTCCAGCTTGTTATGAGTGGCAAGCCATCGGGGACTCTCCGTCAGAAACCTGAAATAATAATCCACTTGGTCCGAGGCCTAGGCGGATAGACCGAGTTTCAGAGACAACTGTGACTACAGTCTCACTTATTATTAGCGAAGAATTTAGAACCGAAAGATGATATTGACTCTTAAGATGTAACAACTCTTGTTTTTGGCGAGAAAAGTACCGGTACCATAAAACGGACGTTCCTGTGATAAACGGCGATGCTCTCATACTTGCCATTGGTTAATGAGTCCGTTTTTTATACCAACCTGTAGGAAAACCACAGAGCTACGGTAGGCACCAGTGACGTCACCATCAGCAGTGTCTTCCAGTCCCGGATGAAGTAGGCCACCAAAGCGAGGCTCATTACAGCAACTTGCCAAAAGTTGATGGCACCCCCTAGAACCCGCCATTTCATGCCGATGAATTCGACGGGCCAAATGAAATTCAGGTTTCCGAGACCTTTGATGATGAAATAGAGACTGAAATTTGACCTGTTCATTCGGTTATTTATTAATTAATTAATTTATTTATTTATTTAAGTTGTTTATGAGGGTACCATTGGGTATTTTTGTTACTCGTGAAGGCCACTTTTTATTTCCAGCTGCGGTAAGCATTATCCGTGACGCATCCTATAGCCATGACTTGTGAATGCGGCTTTTTTAGTCTTCGTCTTTAATACGTAAAAAAAATCATTATACTCGGTGATTTTTGATTTTCAACTCGCGTTCTCAATGAGAAACAAATTAAGTTTCTATACTGTGGTTGGTGAAATGAAGATTTTATTTCCCGGTAACTGTGATCACAACCTCAACCCCCTCCACCCCCATGGAACCTTCGTTTATTACTCACCACCAGCGCATATTCCACTGAAGAAACGTATAGCGGCGTAAACCTCCCAACGTGGTGCGAAAGCACTGGCGAAACCGACCACCGCGTTCACCGTGATGGTGGTAAACCAGACCGGCTTCCGGCCAAAGGTATCTGCCAGCTGACTGATCAGGACCGCCCCCACCGCAATTCCTGCCATCTGTATTGACGTTATCAGGTCGCTTATACCGTCAAGATTGCAAACCAGATTCCACTGAAATCAAAGGAAATTAAATTAGAATTGACGATATGCATTTCTGTTCGTTGTTTATTTCCGTTATTATAAATTAACAGAAAACGGTGCAGGACATCTTTGTCCGCATTCAGATTCACACTCCGTGCTGTGTCAGACCAACTCTGCGGGGGATTTAAGCTAAAGTGCAATCACTTAACAAAGAACTGATAAACGAACCACGATTCATAGCGAACTACATTTACCATTCCTTTCACCCCGCGTACCCTACGTTCTAGATTCCGGTATTGCCAGCTCGATCTTGATTTCATATATAACCCATTGTAGTGTTCACAAATATAATTCCCAGACATGTAAATTAATTTGATTAGAGTCGATTGCTTGTGCACTCGACTCGTTTTATGGCCTTACCTGAAGTCATGTAACTTAAGTGGACGTGTGCAATTTGAATAATTAAAATTAGTATGTACCGCCAAATACTGCAGCACAGAATCCACCTAAAGATAAGAAATAGGTATAAAAGACGTATAGAATTAATATCGGGGGTCAGACTGAAGAAGACTCGAAGGTGACCGCTCGACGGAGCTATGGGAGACGGCTTAGAAGTTGGAGGCTTCACGTATAGAACATGTAGTTAGAGATCGTCAACCAATAAACCATTAAACTGGTCATTATGTGGACTTGGGTTTTCTTTGCGCGACCTTACGTAAATCTGACACGAACCGTGGAATTTTGAATTGCGTTATCCACTGAGTAAGTCTAAAACGTAATGTCCTATTTCGAGCCCACGCTTGAATTAAGCGTTCTAAATTATATAAGTTTAGGACATTCATCTCATATGTATATGTAACGGTACATAACACCATGTCGCAGTACTAGTGAAAGTGACTCCAAGGTATATTAAATATTAAACAAACTAACTTTCACGTTGCTCTGACACTCAGGGTAACCCCGCGGTGCCAGAACTCTTACCTCTGATATAATGGAATGAGACCTATCGGCATATCTGTAGCCTGGGCATATCAGCCCATCCGCCCCACACGTGTTCTGGAGGTAACCCATCGCCGTCACATTCCCCGTCACGTTCAATCCATCCGTGGTCGCTGTAGTCAACGTGCTGCGTACCACATCGTCTCCCGCTACCACTGCCGTTGGAGTGAGACCCGTGGCGTTGTAACTGACGATGGAGGGTGACGGACACGTCCAGGTTGGGTGTGTCCCAATAAAGACTGGAATCATGATCGTCCATGCGGTCACGTAGTCGCATAAGTTGACCACGGCAAATATGCCGAACTGGCGAGGACCAAAACCCTCTGTAGAACGGAGAAATTTATTAAACAATGATTTAATAAGAAAGAGAATATATATAAATCTCACAAAATCTGTATCGGAGTCAAATGTTTACGTACGCGTGGCCATATAATTTGATGACCGGGGTAGTAGTTTGTTTACCTAAGTGCCTTAGGCTTTATCATGACAACGCACTTGCTCACACTTCTCGTCTGGTATGTCATTCGTTGCAGCAACACAATGTTCTGAGAATGAAAAAACCATCTCTGAGCTCTGATATTAAATATACTTAAAAATCTGTGGGATGAATCAGGACGCTTTAATAATCATGACCAACTCCATTAAGCTATTCGGGAAAATGGACAAATACCCCCAGAAATCTTATGTGTAAACTTTGTTGAAGCCATGCGCCGTCTACAAGAGATCATTGCAGGACGCGTGGACAAATAACTTTGGAAATCAAACTCTGATGCAAACTGTGTATTATTTTGGTGACATTTGGTGGTGTCTTTCTTATTTTCATGGATATTTTTACTTCTGTGAGAATCACAGTGGAAAATAAAAAAATAAAAATGGCGGATGTTTTTAATTTGATTAAATGGTATAAAATATGGAAATCTTACCGACATTTTTTTTTCTGTTCTGTTAGTCATATTAGATATGGTATCTGGCATAAACAGAAAAAGCAACTTAAAAATCTTTTATAGCTGTATTGTAATCATTTGTAAACAAAAGAAATTTTGGAATTAGAGGTGTGACAACCTTTTTGATAAAGCGTATATAAAAAATTTTAATGCAATTACGCTACAGGAGGTTTACCCACTTTCACAAGCTCGTCACAAGTTCGCTTTCTGTCGTTTATTTAATATGTGAGTCGAGCGCGAGGACTCGTTTAGCTAACTCTTTAACGTTTTGGTCATGCTACTATGGATGCGTTCACAATGAAACTATAATACAATCAGGTTAACAGATTAACACGACTCCCCATAATACAATCAGGTTAACAGATTAACACGGCTCCCCTTAATACAATCAGGTTAACAGATTAACACGACTCCCCTTGTATCCAACGTACTCGTATATAATGACCAGCTCTTGTGTTCTACCCAACGCCAGTAGGAGACGTGTTAATCTGTTCATCTGATTGCACTTAGCGAGAGTCCTCGCGGAGTTTGAATTACGTAGTACGATAGTTTTATTGTGAACGCTCCCTTGGTTGTTACACCCTATTTCCATAGATTTTTAGATCGATCTATACCTGTGGGGAGTCTCACTAGATTACTGTCAGCTTGGCCGGCTTAAGCGTCTGTCCCGCCTACTAAAAGCTTTAAGGGGGTAATTAACTATGGTGCCCGCTCGGCTGACTGCAATTTAGCGTGAACCCCCAGGGAGTTAGGTTGATCTAAATCTTAATCTTTAGATCGATCTAAATCACTGGGAAAGCACCCTTAGTTTCTCAGAGTGGATCGGTCCAGTTAAGTATACCGTACATTGTGAAGAGGGCCACAGCTACACTGTATCGGTATCTGTGTAAGTAAGTAAGTACGTATAAGTATGACCTTGTATCCTGAGATAACCATTTAAACAGCTTTAATATATCTGGTCTGGGGCAGGAATCTTCTGATAACTAAGGGACCATACACAATGAGTTAGGTCGCGATAGCTACTATGCACGAACTTCAAAGGGACTTTGGCAATGAATATGTTTCTATAACTACCCCTCTGCGATAATTGTCGGCTTCTTTAGAAAGAAAAGTGAACAGGCACACGTGTTTGTTTTAGGTGGTTAACATCTAATGGTTTTCACCTTCGTGTGGTATTCATGTAATTATATAACAAGTTTGTCAATACACAGATAAAGCTCCTATGTACATGTACAGGTAGGGACATGTATGTAAAACGTATTACGACCGTCCAGTACGGGCGCCTACAGCACATGTAAAATGAATGCATTACCGGAATGCCGAAAATCATCCTTACGCACGTTTCTTGGTTGACAAAAATTAATGAACCGCTTGAATGCAATCCTCTCTGACCAGTGTGTTGATCCCTATGGCTAACTTTACTCCACTTGAAGATAAATCTTTAGTTAAGTCAACTCAAAAACCACAATACAATAAGCACATTTAGGAAAACAATTGAAAAGCGGCCATTATACTAATCAATAGCCTGATCCTTATTAAGGTCACTGAGAGAGGCAGGTGGGCCAGAAGACAAAAGTGCGAGCGGCTTGAGTGAAACGAAGGAACGAGCAGTCTTTGACTATGTTCCCAAAAACTCATCGTTCTAGCTGATTCGATCTTACTCCGTGGAGCTTCTCGCTAAAATGTTTTTAGTGTAATCAGCTTAATTGTCTGGAACGCTCCCATGAGTAACTAGCCTTGACTTTCGTTAATTACCCCTAGCAAGTTGAGCAGGCGTGCCAGAAATTTCAGCGGCTTATATTTAATGCAATTTAGCGAGAATCCCCGCAGAGTTGGATCAATCCAGCTAGTACGATGGGTTTATGAGAACGGTCCTTCTGACCACTTATGCCGCTGTGTGCCGAGATCAGTTTCCGTCAATAGACTTTTCAAATTTGAAGAACATTTTCACTTGTCCTCGAATTACGGACGTTTGTTTATGTTGACAAGTCGAATTATGGACCTAGTTTGGCTAATTATTACTTAAATTTGGTTAAACGTGTATTTAAGAATAATATGGATCGCTTTACCCGTTTGATGTACTATGTGGAAGAATAAAAACTAACTAACTAGAACACATTTTGTTTTGTTGTTATCTCTTTAAATAGTAGGTTTTAGGGGAGCGATCCAGTTGAGAGTACCGTTTGACGTGTAATGAATTTTGGCCCACTCTCACAAATATTTAAAGAGTAGGCTGCAATATTTAAAACTAATTAACACTGACGTAAATGAAAAGGTTGTAATATGGTGTATGGATTTGTTGTTGACAAACAAATATTGTCTATGACCCAACTTTGAAGGGGGTGAGAGTAGATCTCCACCGTATCAGTGTTTGTGTAAGTATGGCCTCGTATCCGGAGATAAACAGATAAACAGCTTTTAGATGTCTGGTTGGTTCTAGAAAATTCCCATGTAGAAGGTATTCTTGTATTCATCCTTCACTTACGTACTTAATACAGGACCCTGAGCATACAGTAACTGCATAAATCTTAATGTTAGAGATTTCGGATGGAAATAAACCTTAAGCTTCTAAAATGTTAATTGTAAAGATGAGCAAACAGATACTAAATGATAAATTAAAAATGCTTTTTACGGTTTCTGAAATCACCTTTGATATTTAATTGAAAATAAATGCATCTCGCTCTTCGCACATATCTGAAACCCTGTTACAGCGGGTTTGCGACCGCTTGGAGACCGTTACCTACACTCACCCCTTCAAAGTTGGGGTTTGGACAATATTTGATTGTCAACATCAAATCCGTACATTATACTGCAGCCTTTTCTGTTACATCAGCTTTAATTAGCCTTGAATATTGCAGCAATTTCTTTATTTAAATATATTGCAGAATGGGCCAAAATTTGTTCTATAAGCGGTGGCAGCCCCCGATGAAACAGGGGCTTAAGAATGAACGTACTGTGACAGTATTTAAACACTCTTTGAAAATAAGTGGTCAGCTGGGGGTGGCCTTTAGCGTATTGCACTAACGTATGAGAAAAATTCTCCATACTTAAGGGGTTCCTTACATTTACGTCGTACAAGTCGTATACGTCTCGAGTACGCAGGTAATAAATAAATAAATAAATAAATAAATAAATAAATAAATAAAAGTAAATCGTTGGTGTACGTTCGCATACGCGGAAGGAGGTAAAATGTGTTCAGTATATTAAAAAGATACGCTGTTTACATGTTCATTTTCATTCGCTAGAAAAAGGCGATTTCATTCGCTCAAAATTGTGTGTATGATCGATTTTACATGCGATACATATACCGGTACGAACCTCTGTACGCTAGATGTGACAGAGCTTTTACGAAGACGATGTGTACCTCTACGAAGAGGGATACGTGGTTCTGCTTCAAGAAGTTCACATGGGAACACTTAGAATGAGTTTAGAGTGAAAGCTGTGCTCAGCATGCAGTAGTGCTAGTACTGGAAGCCTCCACCGTGTCTTACAGGACACCCCTCTGTCACACGTACATCGATCAGTATATATCTGTCGCTGTTAGCATTCTTTAAGCGACATGCTTATTATGAGGGCTAGCTTTCAATAAATTATGAAACTCTGAGAGTTTTTTATCGTGTCATTAAAATCATATTAAGCTCGGAAAATGAAAACGAAACTCTGAAAGTTTTTATCGTGTCATTAAAATCATATTAAGCCCAGAAAATAAGAAAAATTGCACGCTGTTGGTGAATACATCCAGAGGGCAATTTCGAAAAGAAATGAGCATCTGCCACACTGAAGTAGCCTCTTCCTGCTATTAAATATTATATGTACCATAAGCATGCCACATTATATATATATATATATATATAGTTAAATTTATGTCCTGCCAGTGTATTAATCTATCTATAACTGTAATAAGTATTCTAAACACTGTATGAGTAGTAATCCATAGTTATGTTTCTTTCTTTCTTTCTTTATTTATTATTGAGCCACGTCCCCCTTTCTTTAGGAGACGTTACGTGTACGTGTAGTTCTTTTCTTTAGGTTTGACTCACCCCAGTGGCAACATCCGAAATTCTTGCGTTTCAATTGTTCCTCCGGCCCTGGTGACATCTCTTCGTGTTGGAATTCCTCAAAATAAGGTGACTTTCTGTCTCCGGCACCGTCCCCATTGCTGGCACTAGCATCTCCCATTATTAATCTCAGTCTGTCGCTTCTGTATACGTTTGATAAAGACCCCTGTCCAAAGAAACGCCTGCGCCGTGACACAAATTTAAAATGAAAATAAACTTGACTCTAAAAGTACTTTGTCAGAATTTTATGTAAGTTCATGTGGATTTTTTCTCGAGGTTTTGTAAGTCAAATTGCTCAAAGGCTCGCGCAGACTGTACGATGCGTGCTCATTCTCAGGTCTCAAAGGCTCGCGCAGACTGTCAGATATTTGCTCATTTTCAAGTTCGGTGTGTCTAAAACCTTATGCCCAATAAAAGCGTCGGTTAGTTATCATTTTTTTTTTCTTGCGCCAGCCGAAAAAAGTCACTGAAATGGAGTAAAACGCCAGGCTCTCAGTTTCGCCAGACAGTAGATATCGTAGATCAGCACGCAACTGAAAGTGTTCACCGGACTTCAACACAATAAAGCAATAGCTTTACCTGACCCGAGTCAGTTCAGTAAAACTTGTTTGGTGGGTGTTAAGCACAATAGATGTGCCCCATTCAATAGAATAATCGCAGCAGTTATAGGGTGAAGGTGAGTGCGGGTTGACCTCGCACACACACACATGGGATGTCAAGCAGGAAATGGAAGCAGACGATATAGTTTCTTTTTATGCTCCGGGCTTAAACATAAAAGATTTAAGTTTGTTGTAATCATGATGGATTTGTTTTTGATGACCCAACAAAGGAGCACTATACAATATTATTATTATTATTATTATTATTATTATGTTTACCGAGTACTAAAGTGTTGGTTGAGGACTGCGCCAGGGACCCCGCTCTCAGTCAGCGAGATCTCGATTGATTTTACGGTTATTTGCGAGACTGCAGACTGTCACGTATGACGTCGATATTGATAATACAACAGTTTCATTTTATTTAGAACGCTCGCACTCTGGTTCACGTTGCTCGAAGACGTGAAGGGTCGAGATAAGTTTGATAAGCCGTTGTCACTGTTTGCCTTGGCTATCATGTGCTACTTTTACTTCGATAAGCTGTAACCTTTCTCAGTTCCTAGTAAAAATGTGCCTGCAATTTTGGGTGAATAAAACGTTTTATTTGTCCAATTTGAAATCAGAAGATACGGTATGCAGTGTTTAGCATACACATTATCACACGCGCACACACACATTTTACACAGTTTAACTGACTAAAACCAATTTTATATCCAAACACGGTGTAATTTTATCTCATTTCCAAACAGCAATGCTTTCTTTCTTTAGATGCATTAATAAATAAAACTTAACAACGAACGACCAAATGAATGAAACATTATTAATGTACAAACGAATGATTTGAAGGTCTGCCGAATTTTAGAATCGTTCATTCATTCATCCATTCATTTTCCTTTCAAAAAGGAAAACGTTTGCGTTTTTCCGCCAAATTATAGACCACCATATAACCAGCAAACAGACACTACCCAATCTTGACAATTCAGCCACAAGCAGCCGCACTCTGGCTTTTTTTTTTTTTTTTTTTTTTTTTTTTTTTTTTTTTTTTTGCGAGGACAACTCCTTTGATCGTACTGCAAATTAGCGGTTACGCTGATATAGGAAATCCAACACATGTACGACAACAATTATGATAAGAAATCCTGCCGTGAATAGTTCAGCTTTAACATTTTCAATTCCATAAAAACCCGGTGCAAGTTACAATCATAATCCGAAACATCAACTATAATAGAGTGCGAGCACTAACATTTCAGCAAAGCATTGCCTGCTTGCTCGCTTGCGCATACATTAAAGCACGTACAAAACAACCCAAAAATAGACTATGAGCTCCCTGTTATGCAAACATTTTGGGAAAAAATTCGTGTAAGAACTGATTTCAAACATTAAAATGAACAGATTTTACCCTGACACATATTTCAAGTTTACGGACGTCAGGGAATTCACACCTAACCTCTTCTTGATATATTAATTTATTAACCAATCAAAAAGGAATATGCATGACGGCGATGTTTAATAGGCAATAACAATCAATAACAATTAAGTGTTCATTGATATCTTATAAATAATTTTATTTCATAAGTTAAACATACCGATCAAGATCCATGTTGTATGAAAACATCTCGCAAAGATCTTATTTACTTTTTTGCCGGTGTGACAGGAATGGTTGTCCGCTGGACACCGCAGTCTGTTCCCCACTACTTTGTACGGGTGACATTTGTTCCTTAAACTAACCCCAATACTCCAACTAACCCTTAACATATGGGACCCCCAGGGGCGTATTTAGAGGGGGGTCAGGACCACAGGGGGGGGGGGGGTCAGGGTGGTCCTGACCCCCCCCCTTTTCGGTTTCTGAAAAAAATATCACACCAATATTCCCCTCTTGAAATTAGAATTTTGACTAGCTAAATCATAGTTCTAAACCGTACCAAAGGGCACAGTTTGCCCTCCAAAACACCAAAAAATTTTCGGGGTCCTTGAGCAGGCCCTGAACCCCACGTCAAGGGGGCTATGGTGGGCATCGCATCCGAGGCCTGTCGTTCTGGACACCCCCTCCCTTAAAATAATCCTGGATCCGCCCCTGACTCCGGACTCGCACTTCTGTCATACCTGCTGAAAAACAACGTGCCCTCTACAACAGTTTGCGCAGTCTATTTTAGCTCATTACTATTGCAAGGTGTCTGGAGGTGATCACTTGAATAAAACTGAAAATAACACCTTGATTGCAACGACACGAAATGTTTGCTAAACATACCTAATAATTATACTTTGTCATTCACGGCACAGTCACAATCAACCTGGGTAAAAGCACTGTTAGTTAAAGTTTTACCAGGACACTGAAATCAGTTCAATGAAGAACAGGACAACAACAGATATGTTGAACTATACATGTTCCTTTCTTTATTCATTTGTATAAGATTGTGGCAAACTTTTTCCATGTACCTGATATCGTACTCATCAAGACCACAGATACCTATAAATCTCATACCCTTTAGGCGAGATAACTACTACTCTATCAAACACTATCTTTTCTCATAATAAAGGCAAGAAGCCTAATACACTCTCCCAGTAGAAGCTACCTTCAACTCGCAAGAGGCGCTGTCAAAACACACGTCCTCAGAAGAATAGCTTTGAATCGTGTTATTTTGGCAAAGTGGATTTTAACTAGGACATGGGCAGACCACCCCAAAAACTTTACGCCCATGCCCCCCCCCTCCCTCTACGCTCCCGGCACTCAACACACACGTGCGTGCACACACACGCAATCACACGCTCAGATTAAACTTTTCCAGTCAAACTCTATGTTGTGTTGTAATCTAGTTTATATTATTAAGATTTTGTAAGTCTCATACAACTTGTAGTCTGGGTAATAATTCGGGCACAATGTCTTTTTGTGAGTCCAAAGTCTCGTATTCTTGTATCACAGACGTTATGGACTCCAGGCTCTCAGCAAAGTCGCTGACTTCCATCCCGTCCACGTGTGTGTAGTGGTGAATGTGAGCCTGGAAACAGAAATATAAATATATAAATAAATAAAAAATTTGTGAGTGACTTTATAAAATGAAAGCAAGTAAACAACAAACCAAATAAATAAATTAGTAAATTAATGAAGAGAGAAAGAGAAGGAACAGAAAATAAGTAAAAAACAAGCAAAGAAAATGAATGCATAAAAAAGAAAGAAGAAAAGATAGAAAGAAAGGATGAATGAAACAACAAACAAACACAAATAAATAAATAAATAAATAAATAAATAAATAAATAAATAAATAAATTTAGCTTTCCTGGTAACTTCCTACCTTTCTCTTATACAGCTTGCTGAACCTGTCCCTGAGGTCAGAGAAGGTGTGTCTGATACAGGTATTGTTAGCTAGGGTCAGTAGGGTGTGGGGTTGACCAACAGGAGGGACGGAGCACAAGCCAGTCTTCCAACCTTCCTGGTTCCAGTAGATGAACTTCAAGGACGGCTTCAGTCTGGGAGAAATAAGGATTAGGTTAGGTTTTAGGTAACAATGGTTTTAATATTTCTTTTGACACAAAACTGGCCCAACGATCTACGTATAGGTGACTATAAAAGTCATAGTGACTATGATAAATAATCTTTAACAAGTTACTACAATAATGCAATCCGCAGACTTTATCATGAAAATAAGGTTCTTCATCTTCATGCACCACACAATAGGTTAAGAGAAATGATTCATGCCATACAGCTATGTCATACACTGACAGGTATCTCTTCACATTTCTCTTCACATTTATCTCTTCACATTTCTCTTCACATTTCTATTCACATTCCATACCAACACTGAACCTTGTACCCTGAGTATAGAGGTATCAACACTTACCTCTCTATGTTCCTCCTGATATCTGACACCTCCACACTCCCCCGTACCATTAGGGCGCAGGCCAGATACAGTCCATGTTTAGGGTCAGCTTTGATGAGCTGGTGGTCCTTGGAAAACGCATCACTAAACATCTGGTCTAATCTATTAAAAGATAATAAAAACGTGAAGCAATCTAAATAAAATTAATTGTGTGTTCAACATTTCAAATTCTTGATTTTTTTTAAGTCTGGAATCCAAAATCTGGAATTCATTAATTTATAAAATAAGGATCACAATTTAATATTTATCCATTCTAAATTTAACTTAAATCCGTCCACTAACTTTCTGTGTAGGCAGGTTAAATAAAAAAGAACAACATTAAAGGCAAAACATAATCTCCTTGGCAGAGGTCAAAACCTATTTTAAACAAGTTTTATAATATGATCATTAAGAGCACATTCAGAACAGTGAACTAACAGATCCGCAGATCAAATATGGCCGACACACTTGACTGATTCTTGAGTAATCCCCGTGGGGAATCCATTCAGTGTCTAACTGGGAATTTTAAAGTGACAAGCTTTTTAGTGGGTTGCCATATTGGATCTACAGATCTGTTAGTCTGCTGTTCTGAATGTGCTCTAAGGCTGTATTCAGAACAGTGGACTAACTAGTCCGATGATCAAATATGGTGACCCACTTCAAAGCTTGCTGTCTAATAAGGTAATAGACACTGAATAGATGCCCCGTAAGGAAGTATTCAGGTGTGTCGGACATATTTGACCCTCAGACTAGTAAGTACGCTGTTCTAAATACGCTCTAAATTCCTACCTTCTTGGGGGTATCTTCATATCAGCTGAGGCATACAGAGGGGTCTGGCTGGAGATCAGGTAGTGTAACTTTGGAAACGGGACCAGGTTCATTGTGATCTCGTTTAAATCCACGTTCAGGGAACCTTCAAATCTGGCTGAGCTGAAAGGGTCCAAAAATATGTGTAAAAGTAAGAGAAGTGACTCGTTAAATTAGACTCACTTTATATGACACAAATACAAACAAAAAAATGTTGAAAAGGAACAGTAAAATCTTTTCTAATAATGATAATAACAATAAAGTTATTTTAAAATGCATCTTATGTACTACCACATCTAAACACTGTGTCCTAGAATATTATCAACATAATTTTTCTTTATCTCTTTTTTTATCTTCTCAAGGGGGCAACTACTAGTATGTCTTATGTGGTACATGTACTTCATAAAACTCAACAACAATTCCCCACAATATATATATATATATATATATATATATTAGTTGTATGTGTAATTCCGATTTTGGCTTTTTTTTGGGGGGATATCTGTATGTGTGCGCATGTACTCATCTAACAATACCTGGTTAAATTCAGCAACAAATTTGCCACAATATTGTTCATGGTATCAAAGGGCTGTTCATCCGGTCCCTTCACTATACTGCCATGACTGGAGGCTATACTGCTGGCTGCCTTCACATTGCCTGATATCCCCACTGTTTTCTTGCCCAGGTTTGATGGCGGCAGAGCTTGGCTGATTTTGTTGACAATATCTACCAGAGCCTGAAATATATTGTTGTGCAGTGCAAAATATGTCTGAGTTCAGCAGTTGTTTACAGATTGAAAGTATAATAGTAACTTTGAGTGTAAATTAAAGCATGTAAGGCTGATAACTGAAAAATGAAGAAAAATATTAAATATCCATTCTTTATGCCTCCAATAAATGCTCACTGTCACTAATTTAAAATAAAAAAAAATTTTGCTTTTCTGAAAGTTTTTGCATCACAATCCCTTGGTTCTTGACTGGAAAAGTGATCTTTCTACCTTAAGCTGACACACATTTAGAAAGGCCATGGAACCTAGATCAAACATCCTTTTGAATATTTTCCTGACAAAACATTGCTATTTTAGAAATGTCTACGTTAACTTAATAATTAAACCCTATATTACTGCTCAATAGTTTCTATCCATAATGACACAATTTTTTATACATTTTTAATGTTACTCCATGTGTATGGAAGTGTAACTGACCTGGTTCTCCACTGGTAATACACAGTCAGCATTCTCCGTCAGTTCTCTCATGGCTAGCACACTATTATAGGGAGAGGTTATCACATCATCTTCAGCAGATGGGTACACAGCAGTGACAAACCTAAATATATATGAGAAATATATATTAATAAGATCAATGAGGAAAAAAGCGTATCAATTAAGAAGCAATAATAAATATTAAGGTTTCATTACTAGCTGTGAGGAGTAATTTACCCAGAGAAGAAACTAAACAAAATATACCTTATGCATTTTCTAAATTTTCTACTGGTACACTTAATCTAAGGAACAAAAATTACATCATCACTAAAGGAAAGGTTATTCGTTAATTTAATTTTGGTTGTATTAATATATTTATTTAGTGAATATTTGTGAAGGGGAGAATCAAATGAGTGCTTATTTTTTAAAAAAAATCTATGAATATAACTAATTTAAAACATGCAAAATAAAATGCCATTCTTGATCATTCATCACCAGTTATATATATTTTTTATTCACATTAGCATTTAAAAAGAAACTGTGCTACTACTCAGAAGTCAATCATTACTCTAACATACCCTTATTTGTTTCTGTATATGGTGCACTAAAATAAAAAAATGCCATGTGCTGCCAGTTACCCAGTAGTGTCACCAGTAAGCCAGTTAGTGTCACCCTCTATGTGACAAACACCACCTCCTTGGCATCTGTAGCAAACTTCAGTTGACAGTCTTGATTGCAATCAGAACCAGTTTACCTGGGCTGCCAAAATACAGGTAAACAAAGGATGTCACTTTTAATCACCATCCTCATCACATTACCTGGAGCCAGTTAACTCTACCTGCAGTACCATACCACAGGTAAGACACCAGTGACACCTCCTGATTGCAATCAGCACCAGTTTACCTGTCCAGGTAAACAAAAGGTGTCATCTACCACAGGAGGTCAGTGACAAACAAACACCCCTGTCACCTGTCAATCTGGTCACTGTCACCCACTGACCAATTGTGCTTAGTTTTACATAGGTGGCTGAAGCAAAGTGCCAATCAGAGGCATGTTTGCAAACTGGCAGGTGGCAGGGGGGTGACATGTTATAAAAAGGGAAGCCAATGTTTGGCAGGACACAACAGCTTTGGCATCTTCAGTGTCAACTTGCCTCTGTGTAGCCTTGTGACTTGTACTGTGTCACCAGACTGACAAATTTGTGTCAAGTTGTGAGTTGTACTGTTCTGTCAAGCTAAGTGTCACAGTGTCAGCTATCACCAACTGCCAAAAAGGAAACTTAGTGCCAACTTTGTGCCACCTGATGATGTCAAGTTATATATCCAGCATGGAGACAAACCTCAACCTGCCAACTGACAGTGAAATCCAGGTATGTTTTGGCATGCTTCATGTCTTAATGGTTTAAGAAGTCTGTGCTCTGTGAGAAAAGTAATATCAGTTCAGCACCATGTTTTTTTAAATTTCTCCCTGATGAAACTAAGTGAAACTACCTAAGATCAAGGGTCTAGCAAAGAGAAACTTATTTTGTAAAGCAATTAGAATTTTTTTTGTGAATAAAGTCATATCCCTGTAATAAGTCAATGTTTAAGCACAAAAGCCATTTAAGTGATAATAAAAAGAACTAGTTAATATTTCTGTTTACTTCTTACACATGAAGATTCTTGGTTTCTGAATTTCAGCGAGTAATATACAATAATAATAAATAAATAAATGAATTGTTATATATATTTTATATTTAGTTGAGGTTATATCACTAGTAAACAGTAGTGTTTTTATGTATGAAGTGTGTGTCTTTACACGAATTCTAACATATTGTCCTCTTCATCTTACAGGCTGTTTTGTCCTTCACGGGCCAGCATGCATCACTGTACCACCAAAGTGATTTGGACCAAGCAAATGCCAATCCAACATACACTGCTGAGATCCACAGCATCCACAGTTCCCTTGCCTCAGAAGATCCAGCCATTCAATCTGCCTCTCAGTTACTGCCAGTGTCTACTACAACAAATCCACTTCCCAGTGGAGATGATGGAGATTATGCCACATTAAGGGACGTTCTTCAGGAAGAAATCAGCTCCTCCCAAGTGCCATTAAGCCTGCTCAGCAGTGTCGCCAAACAACCCAAAGTTCCCATCAGTGTGCGAGCGTCATTCTTGGATCTTCTCTTTATGAGACTACGACTACGTGCAACGAGCCAAGTACAAGAGCTCCATACCATGTATCTTGATCAGCAAAGGGAGTTGACACAAGAACGTGAGTTAGCACTCTCCTCTGTAAGTGACCAAGAACTGAGAAAGGCCACAGTCTGCCATTTTGATGAAATCGAGTACAGACTCATGGATCGTGTTGAGAAAAGCCTCAAACTTCTAGAACAATATATCACGCAAAATGAGGACATCATCAATCCTATGGCTATTGTTCCATCAGACACAAACTTCGCCAGGAGCTACGAGAATCCACTTACCCCTGAATCACCAGTAGGGGGCACTGGTGTTGCTGTCACTTGTTCATCAAACTTACAACATCGTTTGATAGGCAGTGTTACCCCTGTTCAGTCATCTTTAGCATGGACCATTGACACTTCACCCATCATGCCAATGGACATTTGCTCTACCAATGCTAAACCCAGCTCTGATGCCACAACAAATCCTCCTCTTGCCAACGCTGAGCCAAATGACACTCCATCTGCCACACATGATATGGACAAAGCACAAAAGCCTGTGACTTTCAAGATGCCTCCAAAGCCAAGAACTGCCTGCTACGACTTCCCTCGTAAAGTTCTGTGGGCGTGGTTGGTGAACAATCAGTATGATCTGTGCCCCACGTCAACCGTCACCTCTGATCTTGCCACCAAGTCTGGCCTCACTATCACCCAGGTGGAGAAATGGTTTCGCAACCAGCGACAAAACATCAGGTTTGAGACCTTCAGGCTGATAAGGAATAAACCAACACTAGATGGCAGCAAAACTCCAACTCCCACCATTACCACCGCCACATGTCCCAACACAAGCCACAACAGTGACTCAGCTCACACTAAGAAAAAGAAACATGAGCGTCGTCCAATGCCCTACGAGAGTGAAATGAACCATTTGTGGAAATGGTTGATGAGAAATGACTGCAACTTGTATCCCTCTGAAACAGTGATTGGAGAGATAAGCAACAAAATGGACATGTCTTCTGAGCGCCTGGTGCAGTGGTTCCGAGCTCAGAGGGAGGGTCTTAAGCGCAAAGCTTCTCCATATTTGTCATGAACTGTTGGTTTAAAATTTAAACAGTTTGTAAACAGTAAAGATGGTATGTGTGGCTACAGCAACTTTCAACTTTTTCCAAAATCATTTCTAATCATCAATATGCATGCTTGTTTTAATATGGTTATTATTGTGTTATAAGACATATTAAAGTGCAAATTTTAGAAATGATGCAGAACTTAGTATTTAAATGTACTTAGTTAATTGGAAATTTGTATTTGACGCAAATTGATCAGTGTAACTGCCAAGAATTTTTTTTTTTTTTTTTTTTGTATCTCAGTTATGTACATGTATCTTAGCTTACATGATGGAATCATTTGTTCATCTTATTATGACAAAACAATTCAGTTAACAAACTTGTACCCAGATTGTTTTACTTAGCTGAATTTCATGTAGTATTTTCTTTAGTGTAACTGCTCAAAAATAATAATGTCAATGTACTAACAGTTTATAAGTAAAGACAATGCCAAATGTTCACACTTTTAAATTTATGCCATTAATCAGATAATTGACAACTGCCAAAGGTTGAGAAATTGTAAGACCTGTTTGTTTCTATCTTTCTTTACTTCTTTGTGTTATGATGATTATTGCATGCATGACTACCTTGTATTTTTAAAGTGTTCAACTCAGATATTTTCTGTAAGATTTGATTTACGACACAATTTGCTCTCTTCATATGCCATTTTGACAAATAAACAAAAGTACAACTGAACCATTATATTGTTTCCTCAATACCTTCAGGCTTCAGACATCCAACAAACTTCAGTCATGCACATAACATGTGTATACCATCCCACAGCGTTATTTTCCCAAATCTGTGTTGTTATTCCCACTGGCAAGATTATGTTACGACCTGCATCAATATGCCTCCTCAACATACCCCCCCCCCCCGCCCCCCTTGATCTCAACCAACACCATCACCACTGATACCCCCAGGGGTGGATCCAGAGATATTTTCTGACAGTCTCTCAAATTATCTATGTTGATCCCTCCTACATTTTTGATTGTCTTCCGACAGAAAAAAATTAGATACCAGTCATTGTAAACTTGAAAGTCTGACCGTTCTTCTGAAGACCCAGACAGCGGTCTCAAATTGCCCCTGGCCCCATCCCCAAATTGGTTTTTGAATGACCACCAATCAACTTCAGTCACTTTCACTGATTGTCACTGGGATGTTAAAGGATACAACCAATACCTGGGACAGTCTGTGAGCACCTTAAAATTCGACTCTAACTCGTTCTCACCTCGCTATACACTTTGACTCACCTGTTCAGTGGGCAACTTGGTTTCACTCACCTGTACAATTTTACTCACCTGTTAAGTATATAGCCTTACTATACTCACCTGTAAACATCTGGATATTCATCCTGCAGAAGGTTGAGGACAAATGTTCCAACTCCTGACCCTGTTCCTGAACAAGAAAATAAAATGATCACATACATATGAATCAATTTAGAATGCTTAAGTTTTACTTATTATTATTATTATTATTATTATTATTATTATTATTATTATTATTGTTTTGTTGTTTTTACTTTTCCATTTGTTAGGATAACACATACAGAGGTTTTAATTGTCCCTAAAGAGATTAAGACTGGTCGTTAAAGTGATTTTTTTCTTTTGCTGTGCCTTTGAGAGTCCCCCCCCCCCCCCCCCCCCCCAGCACGGCCATTGGGAAGGAAGCACACTGCAATTCAAACCTCAACTTAATTTTCAAATCTGCAAAGACAAAAAAAGTGAAATAATGGAACGGGTTATACTCTTTATATCAACATCCCAGCTAATCCTGACAGACAGATGCCATTTGGCTCCCATTGCGTTGCGTGTAAACAAAGCTTAGATAGTGACCTTGACCCGACCTAGTTTCGCTTTACAACATGGCCGATAAGACTGAGGGATGACAGTTGCTCCATTTATTTAAAATAGTGAGGTAGACATAGACATAGGGGAGGATACTAGCATGTTTTTTAAGGCGACACAGAGAATATGCGGGCGTCAAAACTACTTTTGGGGATTTTTTTTGTGAGAAAATAACAAAGGTAACTACGGATCTTGTAGTAGTACTAGTAGTAGTGAAACTGAAACGATGTCGAAAAAATTGAAACCTCTCTCTTCAAGTAGTAACTTGCACGTTGAAGGTGAGCAAAATAACGCATTGAAACAATTAGTATAAATGTAAGGCAAGATGGATAATTTTCCTCCTCTCAATTTCTCCTCTAAACTAGTATCACAAGGCTTTTCAAGGTTGCCGCCATGTTCTTTGTTTTCAGCATCAAGTCATGGCGGTGTAGTACTGAGTCATGTTTTATTTTAATGCTTATCTTCTCTGTATCGTTCCAATTTTAGTATAGGTCCCACCGTAGTGGGAAATAGAAGGTAAATTTCATTTTCACTTCAGGGTGACTGTTGCTCATCATCACAAGTGTCGATAAAGACAGTGCTGTTTTCAAGGAAGTAATAGTGAAATAATTAATACACTTCACGTAAGTTTCTTTTTATTTTGGGCTACAAGTACCGGTACATCTGTTATATTTTCTCTAATTTTGTAATGGCTAAGGCACTGAATCTATTTATTTTTAACAGTTGTGGTCATAGTTACAGTTATGGATTTTTAAATAGCATCTAAGCACATATTTTCATCACCCTGATATTTCCCTACCAGTTTTTTTTTCAATGGCTGACACTACATGTATAGCAAGTAATGTACAATTAATATTGTAAATGTACATTTGGTTAGGTTTTGAACTGTGATAGTGTGTGACTTAAAAAAGTACTAGTAATAATCAGAATTAGTTATTCACTATTGGTTCATAATAAAAAAAATTGACCACATTCCACAGATATCACTTACATGGACCAGTAGTAAAACACAAGGTTACAGGACCACTGTCTGTCTGTCTGTCTTCTTGTAAAAAATATCCTTATTTTCCAGATGCTACCAGCACAACAAGATGTCTGACCATGTCTTAGCCAATCAGATCTCAGCAGACCACCTGACCTGCAGTATCTGTCTGGGGCGTTACTGTCAACCCAAGGCACTACCTTGCCTTCACACCTTCTGCCTACAGTGCCTCCAAGATCACATCACAGCCACTGGCCGATCTGGCGTCTTTGAATGTCCAAACTGCCGCAAACAGACCATAGCCATTAGAGGCGGAGCATCCTGTTTCCCAGACAACCATATAATAAACAGTCTGCAACACACTGTAGGTGGCAGCACCTCTCCTGAGCCTTCAGCACCACCTAGTGAGGAGGTTGATGAAGAGGACAATGTGGGGTCTCCAGTGAGGACACCACCAGGTTCAGCAGACGTCCCAGTCATACAATGGCCTCCACCACCCCCTCGTCCCCCACAAGCCCCTGTCCCTTCTGTACCATCCCCTACCCATTCTTCAAATCACCCAACAAGTACACCCACTCCTCCCCCTCCCCCACCACCCCCTAGGCCTGCACACCCTCCCCTCGCACCCACCACCCCCAGACCAGCTAACTCACCCCACACACCAACCAACACAACCCCCCAAAGAGCACCCCCAACTCCACCCGCTGTACCACAAAGAACCACCTCCCCAGGGTCGCAGGGTCGACTGTGCACAGGATATCGCCTTCTCAGGCCCACTGGTGTCACCATTCTCAACACTGGAGACATTGTGGTGTCAGACAGCGGTGACAACAAAATCGTCACCTTTGCTCACGGTGGTCAATACCGCTCCCATTTTCAGTGCGACTGCGAGGTAAAAGATATTGCAACCATGCCTGATGATACTCTGATTGTTGCTGTTAATAAGGCGGGATCTGCCATTGCACGGGTTTATTCCCACGATGGCCGTGTGTTAAAAGACTTTGGGAATCAGTATTACTATGAAGAGCCTCATGGGATAACGGTCAGTCACCAAACTGACCAGTTTATAGTGACTAATGTGGTACGCAGCTGCATCTATCTTTTCAATATGGCGGGCAAGCTGGCACAGCAATTCGGCAGTAAGGGTCACAGCACCACTGGGTTCTCCCCATATTACTGTGCCATAAACGGGAAAGGAAATAAAATTCATGTGTCTAACACTGATGCCCATAATGTCAAAGTTTTTGACACACTGGGTAATTTAAAGCACATGTTTGGGGAGGAAGGGAATAAACCTGGACAGCTCAAATCACCCCAGGGGATCTGTTTGGACAACAGGGACAACATCATAGTTGCCGATTCTGGGAATTATCGCATACAACAATTCGACCATCAAGGCAAATTCAAGAAGGTGTTAATACGGGATACCAGGCAGCAGGATGGAGGTTTGAATGGAAAACCATGTGGCTTGGCTTTGTCCCCGAGACTTAATATTTTGGCAGTGACCATGCAGGGGCCGTCGCAAGGTGGCGTGATTCTGTACCCATACAGGGGGAATTCTGGGAAGGTCAATCCTGTTACTGGGAGTCCTCAGTCAGGGGCTTGTAATGTTTCATAGCAGCAAACAAGAACATTAACATCTATGAAGATTTAAAGGCATATTTAAAAAAAAAAAAAAACCTTATTGTGTGTATTAAGGCAAAAGAGAGGGCAACAGCAAAAAGGATAAGACTACAAACCACGAAGTTACTGAAGTGGCCTTTTTTTCTGAGGCTTCACCAAAGACATAAGTGATATTATTTTAATATTACTTTTTTAAAGCCTTATGGTGTCATGAAGTACTCATGCAAATGAGAAAGGAATATTGCCAGGCCCATGCATTATTCAGAGGGTATAGAGAGACTTGTAGTTAGATTTTGAGTTAATAATTCATGATGCTGTCTGTCCTTCCATGTTATGCTGTATCTCAGGAAAAGTGTTTTGTGTAATTTTTTAAACATTTTTTTTTAATTTTTTTTTTTTTTTTTTTTTTTAATTAAAAACTTGGTCATTGTTAATTGATGATATTTTCCTCAGATTATTATCAATGTTTTCATGCAAATAATTCTTCATCAATTATTACATACTATTTGTGACCAAGGTTAATTTTGAAATTAATATTGCTTATCAATATGCAACACATGCAGCAATATTTAGATAAATGCTTTTTGACAACAGAAGATAGAAAAGCTTTCTGTTCTTGAGAAAACTGTTGTATTGTTTTGTGCTTAATCATCCAAAAAAGCCTTGATATCAAATTAAACGTTTTATGAATGCAACACACTGTTAAGCTTTCCTTGCAGAAGAAAAGATGATATTTTAAATATTATTAAGTTGTAAAGAGAAATAAATGACATTTAAAATTTAATTGTCTGATTCTATGATAAGCACCACTGTGATACATTTCCCTCATCAAATTTTTCCTTTTCAAATTACCTCCTCCCATAGAATGAATAACAAAAAAGCACTGCAGGCAGTCGCACAGCTCCACGGCACGCCTCACTGTCTCTGAAATCTCATCTTTGTACTTTTCTCCATACATTTTATGGCCAACTGCCCTGAATGTTATAAATAAAAATATATCATAAATTTACTGATAATGAAAAATCATTTAACAGGACAAGGGCTTTTAGACACTATAGGATAGGTGATTGTTTGATAAATACAAGGCTGCTACATGTTTACTGTAGCAGAAATATATTCTTTTTTATTAAGTTTCAGATGCAGCATAAAGTCACATGTAACACGGTCAACTGTCCACATAAAATGTAAAACGCATCACTTCCTATTACAATGCATTTAAGTGTGATTTATTTCCTACTATAACATAAATATAAAATTGTGCACTTTAGAAAAAACTAAAGAATTATATTTATTTCACAAAAAAAAGGAAAAAAAAAAAGCCTTAAAAACCAAATTCAGAAGTCCAAATCAAGCCAAATAACACAATCTAATGGGCAAAAACAGCAGGTCTTAATTGGTATGTTATATACAAGGTTCTTGATACATATGGCATAGGTGCCTCTTAATTTCCCTTCGTGACTTAGACTGAAGCCTACCAGTTATTTCCAGATCCAGACACATCTGTTATCAACTGCTTGTAATCAAATATATCCCCCAGGGGCCCCTTCAGTGATCCACTGACCACGCCCTCTTCCATGTCAATCAAAACTGCCTGGAATGCATAATTTATGTGGTAAAACTTTATAGGCCCCATTTTTTCTATACATATCTAAACTATCTACTAGTAGTTTAATTTCATATGTTATGGAAGTGTATTCTAAAATCTCACATTTTAACTTTTGGTTGCATTAGAATACTTACAGGTGAGTGACTAAGGTGCTTACATATATACAAATGTTCAGACTTGAACAGAAATTCATGCTTTGATAATCCATAAGAATATAACTCTGTCATAAATCAAGAATCTTGTGCATTTGTTTAAGGGACTGTATATACATGTAATTCATGGTACATGGCAATTCACTAAAACACTTGATAGTAACAAAGATTGATTAACTCTATGAAAATGAAGAATTCAAGTAGATTATGTATTTGGACACTTCGCAACCTGAGGATTACTTGAATAATATCGTGATGGGTTATCTGAAGTGTACTGTACTGGCTCTTGCTTTGAGATCCATTATCAATGAAGAATATACATGTAACTGACCCTGGCTTTGAGAGCCTTGATCTTCCCCTTCCCACTGCCCACAGGTATGTCCAGTGGGTCATCATGGCGACCATCTACATTCCTGAAGAAGCTACTGAGAGGCTCATCATAGATTCCAGCCTGAAAATATAAGACAACAGAATAAAAGCAACAGAAAAAGATAAGCACTCACTGATTGTAATTTGCACTACTGTATCAGCTCTCTGGAGTCAACAAGTTATATATGGTACCTCATATTAACACATCTCATAACACAACCCTGAGATGCACTGTCAGCAGAGAATGGGTGTGTAGATCAAACCTGGTAAATTGATAATAAAACATGACACACATATGCATTTGTATAGCCCTTTATATAAACATTATGATCATCTATATATTTATTTGTTTGTGTGCTGTTAGAGTAAGAGTTGTGCTGTCATTGATTGTACCTTGTATGTGAAGGTCTTTATCAATTAAGAATCTATCTATTCACATTATGATATTTCTACTTAATGCAGTATTCACCAACCTTGTTCAGGCTGGCATGCTCTCGCAAAGCCAAGTCCCAAAACCTGCAGCCTATCTGGTTACCACACTGGCCAACTGAAATATAGTTACTCAGTGTAGCATTAAAACTACATGTACGTTCTTTATGTCTATATTGTCAATCATCTTCACTTTTTCCTTTCAACTGATGAATTTTTAAGTTGAACATTTTATTTTAATGCTTTTATTTATTTATTTTTTTCATTAACTTTGGAAATTCTTGTTCATGGATCTTCATTTGTTAACCCGTTTTGTATTGTACTACATAGATGAAGGCAAATTTATTTCCACTACTGAGCGCTATAGGTTTTTTAAGAGGACAAAAAAAGTTCAAATTAACAGATTATTTCCTGAGGCAATAATTTGGGTGAATGTCGGAGGGAGGGTACTCAGTACTGACACGATTCTTCGTGCATTTTCTCCCGGTGTGGCGTGATAGACCCGTGCCGTGACGAAACCGTTCTGAGAGTAGATTGAAAGAAATAACTTCCGGTATGACGATGTCGTCCTAAGTAGGCGCTATGTTTGCACTGAACTATGATTTTCCAAGTCATAATTCATTGGTTTTCGTCATGAGAGAGTATGTATTTGGTAATCTTATTACTACAGCATACGGGGGAATGTTGGAAGTGAGCTTTTGAACTGTTCTGTTCTGTGTGAAAAACGTGGCAGATCTAAGACTCGTAGTATAAATGTTTTCATTCTACAATGTTCTTTCAATTCAGAGTTCAGTCATTTTCATTAAAAAGAAATTGTGTGTTCGATAATACTACAACTTTCTCTACGGGGAAATGTTGGAAATGCATGTGCAGCTACGTACTGTAAGTCAACAGACTGCTACCCCCGCGTGAATAATCCGTCAGAACGGTTTATTCACGACGACGGTTTCTTCACGTGACACCGGCTTACTGTTTTTTACACTAATGGAGGTAACCACGTCATTTACCTTGAACAACGATCGACTGCGTCATTTCAAAAACTTCACTGTAAAGTTTTCATCGTGCTAGATAGTTTTGATCTTTCACTGCAAAGTGAGCGCTGTAAAATTTCACATTTCCCTGCTACATAATGAAACCATTCTAACTTTGCCGGCCATGACAGTGTAGAGCACGCGTAAAATCAAAAGTTGTCCTAGGACATGTTTAGCTAATTATCTATTAATTGTCATATTTTGGATAAATATTTAAAGTAAATAGTATATTCATGATATTATTGAAATATAGTTCTAAAATATGTTTTTCTTTATTGTAAAATATGCATTTACCATCAGTGACATATCATCGGTATACTTGCGCTACTAGCGATAAAAAGCCCTTGTCCAATGAAATCCGTCGTATCAAATCTGTAGCTAACATAAACAATCCAGAGACTTCAACTTTCTTCGTTAAGGAAAAAAGTTAGAATTTGTCGAAATCTGAGACCAGTACACGACGCTGGTCGAAAGTATCACCATGGGAACATCAATTTTTGCAGAAATGATATACCATCAGTCGAATCGATTGAAAATGTGAGGTTTTAAAACTGGTACCGCCAGCCCTTAAAAGTTCTCCGTCCACGTCCCAAGAGGATTCGCAATTAATTTGAAGTTCAGAGACACCAGTAATTTTGTTTCTTATACTCAGCTGTTTATAAACGTTACAACTTAAAACCAGTATGGATAATAACGCAAGGAACAGAGTAAAGAAAGCTACCAGAGTCAAGATCATCAGTATGGGAAACGCAGAAACAGGAAAGGTATTACACAATTTTAAAAAATGGTTTATTTTATTGTAGTGTTAATTAAACTGTGCAGCACATCTTTACTGGTGCATTCAACGACGATCAAATGTTTTACACTGATATATCAACTTTATCTATTTTCCAATAATATGGATCGAGATTTTAAAAATATATTTCTGCAGTGAATGTTTTTATTTATTCTGCAGTTACTATACACTAATACATGTGAGATATTTCAACATAAAAAAAAAAACGTTTTACCACATTTTTTTGCTGAAGAAAAATGATTGGATTGTTGTCAAACTAATGATTTTAAAATGATTCTAATTTTGTCAATTTTTTTTTTTTTTTTTTTTTTTTTTTTTTTTTTTTTTTTTAAAAAAAAATTTTAAAATTTTNTATCAATGTTTTCATGCAAATAATTCTTCATCAATTATTACATACTATTTGTGACTAAGGTTAATTTTGAAATTAATATTGCTTATCAATATGCAACACATGCAGCAATATTTAGATAAATGCTTTTTGACAACAGAAGATAGAAAAGCTTTCTGTTCTTGAGAAAACTTGTATTGTTTTGTGCTTAATCATCCAAAAAAGCCTTGATATCAAATTAAACGTTTTATGAATGCAACACACTATTAACCTTTCCTTGCAGAAGAAAAGATGATATTTTAAATATTATTAAGTTGTAAAGAGAAATAAATGACATTTAAAATTTAATTGTCTGATTCTATGATAAGCACCGTGATACATTTCCCTCGTAAAATTTTTCCTTTTCAAATTACCTCCTCCCATAGAATGAATAACAAAAAAGCACTGCAGGCAGTCGCACAGCTCTGCGGCACGCCTCACTGTCTCTGAAATCTCATCTTTGTACTTTTCTCCATACATTTTATGGCCAACTGCCCTGAATGTTATAAATAAAAATATATAAATTTACTGATAATGAAAAATCATTTAACAGGACAAGGGCTTTTAGACACTATAGGATAGGTGATCGTTTGATAAATACAAGGCTGCTACATGTTTACTGTAGCAGAAATATATTCTTTTTTATTAAGTTTCAGATGCAACATAAAGTCACATGTAACACGATCAACTGTCCACATAAAACGTAAAACGCATCACTTCCTTTTACAATGCATTTAAGTGTGATTTATTTCCTATTATAACATAAATAAAAAATTGTACACTTTAGAAAAAACTAAAGAATTATATTTATTTCACAAAAAAAAAGGAAAAAAAGCCTTAAAAACCAAATTCAGAAGTCCAAATCCAGCCAAATAACACAATCTAATGGGCAAAAACAGCAGGTCTTAATTGGTATGTTATATACAAGGTTCTTGATACATATGGCATAGGTGCCTCTTAATTTCTCTTCGTGACTTAGACTGAAGCCTACCAGTTATTTCCAGATCCAGACACATCTGTTATCAACTGCTTGTAATCAAATATATCCCCCAGGGGCCCCTTCAGTGATCCACTGACCACGCCCTCTTCCATGTCAATCAAAACTGCCTGGAATGCATAATTTATGTGGTAAAACTTTATAGGCCCCATTTTTTCTATACATATCTAAACTATCTACTAGTAGTTTAATTTCAACCTGAGGATTACTTGAATAATATCGTGATGGGTTATCTGAAGTGTACTGTACTGGCTCTTGCTTTGAGATCCATTATCAATGAAGAATATACATGTAACTGACCCTGGCTTTGAGAGCCTTGATCTTCCCCTTCCCACTGCCCACAGGTATGTCCAGTGGGTCATCATGGCGACCATCTACATTCCTGAAGAAGCTACTGAGAGGCTCATCATAGATTCCAGCCTGAAAATATAAGACAACAGAATAAAAGCAACAGAAAAAGATAAGCACTCACTGATTGTAATTTGCACTACTGTATCAGCTCTCTGGAGTCAACAAGTTATATATGGTACCTCATATTAACACATCTCATAACACAACCCTGAGATGCACTGTCAGCAGAGAATGGGTGTGTAGATCAAACCTGGTAAATTGATAATAAAACATGACACACATATGCATTTGTATAGCCCTTTATATAAACATTATGATCATCTATATATTTATTTGTTTGTGTGCTGTTAGAGTTAGAGTTGTGCTGTCATTGATTGTACCTTGTATGTGAAGGTCTTTATCAATTAAGAATCTATCTATTCACATTATGATATTTCTACTTAAAGCAGTATTCACCAACCTTGTTCAGGCTGGCATGCTCTCGCAAAGCCAAGTCCCAAAACCTGCAGCCTATCTGGTTACCACACTGGCCAACTGAAATATAGTTACTCAGTGTAGCATTAAAACTACATGTACGTTCTTTATGTCTATATTGTCAATCATCTTCACTTTTTCCTTTCAACTGATGAATTTTTAAGTTGAACATTTTATTTTAATGCTTTTATTTATTTATTTTTTTCATTAACTTTGGAAATTCTTGTTCATGGATCTTCATTTGTTAACCCGTTTTGTATTGTACTACATAGATGAAGGCAAATTTATTTCCACTACTGAGCGCTATAGGTTTTTTAAGAGGACATAAAAAGTTCAAATTAACAGATTATTTCCTGAGGCAATAATTTGGGTGAATGTCGGAGGGAGGGTACTCAGTACTGACACGATTCTTCGTGCATTTTCTCCCGGCTTACTGTTTTTTACACTAATGGAGATAACCACGTCATTTACCTTGAACAACGATCGACTGCGTCATTTCAAAAACTTCACTGTAAAGTTTTCATCGTGCTAGATAGTTTTGATCTTTCACTGCAAAGTGAGCGCTGTAAAATTTCACATTTCCCTGCTACATAATGAAACCATTCTAACTTTGCCGGCCATGACAGTGTAGAGCACGCGTAAAATCAAAAGTTGTCGTAGGATATGTTTAGCTAATTATCTATTAATTGTCATATTTTGGATACATATTCAAAATAAATAGTATATTCATGATATTATTGAAATGTAGTTCTAAAATATGTTTTTCTTTATTGTAAATTATGCATTTACCATCAGTGACATATCATCGGTATACTTGCGCTACTAGCGATAAAAAGCTCTTGTCCAATGAAATCCGTCGTATCAAATCTGTAGCTAACATAAACAATCCAGAGACTTCAACTTTCTTCGTTGAGGAAAAAAGTTAGAATTTGTCGAAATCTGAGACCAGTACAGGACGCTGGTCGAAAGTATCACCATGGGAACATCAATTTTTGCAGAAATGATATACCATCAGTCGAATCGATTGAAAATGTGAGGTTTTAAAACTGGTACCGCCAGCCCTTTGAAGTTCACCGTCCACGTCCCAAGAGGATTCGCAATTAGTTTGAAGTTCAGAGACACCAGTAATTTTGTTTCTTATACTCAGCTGTTTATAAACGTTACAATTTAAAACCAGTATGGATAATAACGCAAGGAACAGAGTAAAGAAAGCTACCAGAGTCAAGATCATCAGCATGGGAAACGCAGAAACAGGAAAGGTATTACACAATTTAAAAAATGCTTTATTTTATTGTAGTGTTAATTAAACTGTGCAGCACATCTTTACTGGTGCATTCAACAACGATCAAATGTTTTACACTGATATATCAACTTTATCTATTTTCCAATAATATGGATCGAGATTTTAAAAATATATTTCTGCAATGAATGTTTTTATTTATTCTGCAGTTACTATACACTAATACATGTGAGATATTTCAACAAAAAAAAAAAAAAAGGCTTTACCACATTTTTTGCCGAAGAAAAATGATTGGATTGTTGTCAAACTAATGATTTTAAAATGATTCTAATTTTGTCAATTTTTTTTTTTTTTTTTTTTTTTTACAACAAAAGTTTAAACATTTGCACTGTATGTGCTAGGAATTAATATTATCCATGAATATTATATGCTATCCTGTATAGATGAGTGTGCATTTTTCTGTTCTTTATTTGCAGAGTTGCATCATCAAGAGGTACTGTGAAAAGAGGTTTGTTCAGAAGTACCTGGCCACGATTGGTATCGACTACGGCGTCACAAAGTGAGTTTCCCAATTAAATATTTTTGATAAGTAATATACTGAGTATTTGTGTCAACACCAGTTCTTTGCACAGTGACAATTCAAATCAATCATTTCCTGTACTTTTTTTTCTATTATAAATTATTCATGTACATTGCACTATTCAATAGTTGTGAACCTTGGAATGTTTAATTTATAATTATCACAATTATTCTTCTAAGCCTGCCAAGAAAAGAATTGCATGTACCAGTACAGTATTGACGTATAAGCTAGATGTTATAAAGAACAATTATACACCCTGCTAAATTTTTAAAAATTTCCTTCTTTTTTAAGTTACAGTAATGAGATATTTCACTGTTGCATGTTGACATGAATGACTACACGTGAATGGACTGAAGACAATTAATGATTCCTTCAAAACCAAACCAGCTTTAATCTGTCAAATTGATCCCTCTTTACAATGCCTCCTACAGCGAAAATCATTTGTTGGCCAATTATTGTATCTGTAAAATCTGTGTAATGAGTGTTCCTCATGCCACCAGTCAGTTTGCTAAGAATATTGATTCTCTGCTATGTATACAAGTTGGACATGTACCTGTAGAAATTTCCAGTAGTGATCCTGAAAGTGTTTTCAAACATTATTCAACATACTATCTTTTTGTATTTTTATATTCATCTGGTATTTTGGTGCTGAAACAGCTGTGACAACTTTAAGAAACATAAAAAAGAGATTAAGACTTCAAATTAAAAGTGCATTAAAGTAATTATGACTTCCTTGTGTTAGGTAGATTTAATAAAGCAGACCCGTGTTTTCCTTTTGGGTGATTAAATGCCCATTTTGTTGGAAACCATCACAGAAATATGGCATAGGTCCCCTGCTTTGGTCTACACTTGAAATAATGCAATCAACTTCAATGCTGAATGTATTTTGAATGTCTACATACCCAGAAAAACATTCAAGAAGAACTGTGTGAAATGTACCATTTGAAAATGTATTGTCTTAAGTTTCCTTTTCCTGAAATCAATTTTCTGGCATGTAATTATATCTGTTTGTGACGCATGAACATTTTATCAATTGTTTAAAGCTGCAACTTGATATCTGTGTATCTTCTGATTATAAGATTTTGATTCACTTTAGTTACTTTCTGTAAATACAGTTTGTAAGCAGCAACAAATTTTGAGTTCTGTAAATTTAGCGCTTCATGTTTTAAAATTAAGATTTTGAATTCACTATTTTTATGTACTTTTATAATTTTTGTGTTCTTAAATTTATTATACTTATTTATTTTTATTTATTCTGCTATTTAATTGATTAAAATAATATTTTTTCTATTTATAGTTTTTATTATTTATTATTATTATTATCTGTTTATTCATTATCTTTTTTTTATTATTATTATCTATTCATATATTTTAGAAAATTAAATACAAATTTATTATTATTATTATTATTATTATTATTATTATTATTATTATTATTTTATTTTTATTTATTTATTTATTTATTTATTTATTTTTATTTATTTTATTTTATTTATTTATTTATTTTTTTTTGCATTCCCACAACTGATTTGTACAATTTAATATAAAATCCCAGACCAGACTTGTGTAAGTTTGAAACACATGGTGCACATGTACTTTGTTAATTGTCGTGATATTGATCCATTAGGTCATGCCAGAAACTTTTGTTAACAAAAAGATACAATGTAGTGTACAGTTTTTATGAGCTTGAATTGATTTTGGTTTCATTTTGTGGAAAAATGGCAGGTGCAAGTCACTTAAATTTGATTAAAAATGTATTTTGCGAGTTAGAGTTTCTGACATATTATCATAAAGTTCTTGTTTAGAGATCGTTGTCAGTACAATAGGTTTAGGGAGAAGCACCAGACTGTGAAACTGCTCAACATACACGGGGGAAAACCATGGAAGTTCTGAAGGTTCAAAGGTTCTGCACTACAAAAAATCTGCATGTCTTCCTAATTCTGTGTAGGTCTCCTAGTGGATAATTCTATGCAATTTTTTTTTTTTTTTTTTTTTTGTGTTGTATTTCCACAAAAACCTTGCCTGTCCAGAGGACCTGAATAAAAAATCTTGGTGGTCCTCTGGTTATTTACGCGGTCATGACTGGTCGGACCTTCAATATCACCTAGTCTGCATGAGACAGGGACTGTCAGTGATATCAGCCATGAGTGATATATGAATTTAAATTATCAATGGTGTCATCATAAGTTCAGAAACAACATCACTATTTGATGAAATCAACAAAATGTCTGATGGCTCACTCCACCAAAAAGTGACCCTCCATAGTATCCTCAAATATGGGAAGAGACCAACACAAATTTCAAAGTGATGCATTTTTATGAAACAGTTATGCTGATATTACATAATATAATAATATGTGTGCTTCACTGAACTTTAAAAAAATAATTGAATAATCTTCAAAATATTTTTACTAGTAATTATCTAAAACTGATTTAGATCCAGCTGTTCCATCCAAACTTGAATGTTAGGAGTCAGTTTGCCAACTAATTGTTAGGAGCTTACTGTATAATTAATTGATCCAAACACTTCAATGAATGCTTCTGTTATTTTGCTAATCTTTACTACAAAAGACACCTGCTGACAGCGTCAGCGTCAATCAATATTGTGGTGCAATATGCAAAAAGATTATGCCATATGTTTGAGTATGTTTTCTTTTAAATAATTTATTATTAGATTAAGGGAAGCATTGAGTATTCTTTGTCCCCTTAGACTAAATCTTGTTTTGAATGTCATTTCTCAAATTCTGGTTTGAGTAATTACTGTAAGGCATTTTGATCCTGTTTTATGTAAAATATCCCAATGCTCCTTGTACTTCTATTTGTAATTAACTTATGCACAGCATGCAAATGTTTTTATTGTATTTTATATTTATTCTTAAAATTACTAAATATGGCTCATTCTTTTTTCTTTCTTTTTTTTATTTATTATTTAATTTTTAAAACTCAATTTCTCTTTATTTCTCTATATTTATTCTTTATTTTTTTAGAACTTAACTTTCAAAGGCCTAATTCTTCACAAGCTTCACAGTTATTTATAAATTTTGATTTTCTCAACTTCAGGGTGACAGTCAAAGGTCAGGAGATGAAGGTGAATATTTTTGACATGGCAGGACACCCTATATTTTATGAGGTAGGTCTGTGATTTATCTAATCTTTTATCTAATATACGATTTATCTCTGATACTTTTTTAACTTGTTATTTATTCATTTATTTATTTATTTAATTCTAACATTCCGGGTGGTGGATTCATACCAATATGAAATAATAAAAAAAATATATACTAGTAAACAGGGGTGCCCACTTCTTCTTCAGGTCAGAAATGAGTTCTACAAAGACACCCAGGGTGCCATGTTGGTGTATGATATTGCTGACAGGGGGAGCTTTGAGGCTTTGGAGGCCTGGTTGGCTGAGATGAGAAATGAGATAGGGAATCCCGCTGAGATGGATAATATTGTGTTCTGCGTGTGTGCTAATAAGGTCAGTTTGTCTGCGAAAAATTGGCTCACTTATGGTTCTCAATCTGTCCTAGAACATAATGTTTTTCTCTTTTAATGAAAAATGATCTTAATCTGTTTTAGGACATTCTGAAGGACTTCCCAAAAACAGTTCTCAAACTGTTACAATCATTACAGAACAACATTAGAACTGTAAAAAAAATACACCAAATGCTCTAGAGTAGATTGAGAACCGTAAGTGAATGTTAAATGAGACATATTATGCAGGGGTTGGTGGCCAGTGTTTCAGGTGTGTCACAGATATGTGAAGGTTAACAGTTACGAAAAATCGTAATGTTTTTATCAGTATTTCAATAAAAGGGTTTCTTAGGTTCTATAGTGAATATTCAGACCCATAAATTTTTGGACTTTTGAACTTTTCAACTGTTGTCAGGCACCCAGTCTCTCTCTCTCTCTCTCTAACGCACACACACACACACACACACACACACACACACACACACATGAAAGAAGATGACATAAATGTGTCACTTTGTATTGGCTTTGGCAGAAGATGAGATGAATATATTAAGAAAATGCTTCATTATTTAAATATAATTTTCAGTGTGATAAGAAGCGTGTTGTTGATGAGGCAGATGGCAGACTTTGGGCAGAAGGAAAAGGTTTTCACTACTTTGAGACGTCTGCTCAGACAGGAGAGGGAGTGGGGGAAATGTTCCAGGTGAAGTTTTATTTATTTATTTATTTATTTATTTATTATTAGAACTTTCTTTTTGCAAAATGGAATCAAGATGTAATTGCAGCATTAAATACCAGTAGGTGAAAAAAAGCAAGAACATGGAAAAATATTTTTATGTTTTAAAGATGTATAATATGACAGTAGTAAAGAAGAAAAGGAAATACACTATAAACCACAAACATCTAACACATATTTTATGTTCAACTTTGTAATACTGTTAATAAGTCAACTGATTGTGGACAATTTGGCTATGTGTATATATTTATAGCTTGTTTTTATTTAATGGCACAGGTTCTGTTTGAGGGGGTGTTGAGCACTGTTGAAAATGGCGGTAAACGTCGACCAATGACGACCCAGTTAGGTTACACCAAGGACCAGGCTGAGGCAATCCAGAGGTTGAAAAATTCCAAGAACGATTACGAGAGACTTGGTCTTCACCCTGGAGCTTCAAAGTATGTGGCACAATATTATATAAAATGATAATTAATTTATCAATTTATTAAAAGCACTTCTGATATATTCAAACATTGCTTATCATAGGTCTTCACATTGTAGCAATAGTCTGACAAGAGATAATGCGTGCACATGTGCATGCGTGCGTCTGCATATGATTCTACACCTCATAAATGAGAATTACCAAGCACAAGCCGAAAATCTTTAATACTGTGGGCTTCAGCCAACCTGGACGTGGGCCTTCATCAGAATGAGATGTTGTTTCTCACTGACTGATAGGTGGTATAGCTAACGTGTGTTTGATAATTTTCATTTATGAACCAACTACCAAGCTAATGAAAAATTTTGCTGATTCTTCACCTGTTATCAAAGCTAAAATATTATTGGACTTCTTTCTATCTGTGCAGGGATGATATTAATAAGGCGTACAGAAAGTTAGCTGTTCTTCTGCATCCTGACAAGAATGTCGCACCTGGTAGTGAGGAGGCCTTTAAACTTCTGGTCGCAGCTAGGACAAATTTGCTCAAGCGATGATGACAATGATGGTCAAGGAATTGAGACTGAGATTAACAGTGGCCTTCACAGTTCATTGTACTACAACTCAAAAAATAATCCAAATAAAATCACCATTTGCTGATGGTTATTTGCTTGGGTGAAGAAAATTAAGAGAAATAACTTGATCATTTTATTATAATTATTCTATGTCTATTTTTCATTGATTTAAGGAAGAATTAGTGATTTGGTTAAACCAAATTAATCAGTGATATGTTAATAAACCTAGTCATTGGTGGGGCATGTTTACTCTTGAAGTGCGATGAAGATTCCCAGCGAAGACTATAATTTTATGGTATTTATTATAAAAACTTAATTAGCAGAATTATATCAATACTATACTGATAGTGTGTACTGTTAGACAAAATAGTGTCTATTTGTAAGTCATTTATGATGACCTGGTTTTTGTTCATAGTGCAAAGATGGAAATCATTACAAAACTGTTAAAAGAAGGGGGCATGTAATTTTTGTGGCTAATGGTAACCAAGTAAAAAACAAAGCTGTATTCCAGTTTGTAGCATGCCAAACTAGAAAATGGCATTTGTTTAATACATTTTTATAGACCAAGATTTATACTCAATTTTACTCAATTATTTATTTATTTATTTATTTATTTTACACTCGTCTGCAGTAAGCTTCAAGAAAATGACATTCCATTTACAAATCCAAATATCTATGCACCAGTATTACACAATAAAGATACATAATATTGTAGTTACCGATAAAATAAGGAAAGTAACACAGAGACTGACGGCTTCAAAATGGGCAAAGATCTTCAACAAAACCCAACTTTTCAGACGTAACCAGTATTGACCCTAAAAAATGTATTTCAGTCTTTGTCAGTTTACATTAGTCTAGACTTTCGCACTGTATACCATATTGATTTTTTTTTTTTTTTTTTTTTTTTTTGAAATAACTAAGATGTGGCCAAATGTAATAGACTGCTGATGACGTTGTGATGCTGGAGAGAAATATTATTGTTATTATATATTATGAATATAAAGTTATACCATAGTTTTTTGTACATTTCAACATTCAAGCCGTCCAATGTCTATATTTTTTCCCTTAAGTGACCAACTGAATGTATGCTCTAAGGAATACACTGTATATCTCACTTTTTGAAATCTGTCTGTTGAATTAAGACCCTAGTAGACTGTATTGAAGTGATACTGATGTCATTTTGACGTCACATAAAGTTATAACGTAGTCGTAATAACATTTTGTGTATTCTTGAATTGCAAAAATATAGACACCTATTGTTTATGTTAAACGTTAGGTTCACTTGAAACTTCGTAATTATATTATACAATGTAGGTATTTGATTAAATAGTTTGTAGGAGTTTCATATTTATCGTAACGGTATGAAATAAATAATTTCTTCCCAGGAACAGGTATTTTTGCAGCTAGAAAAGGAAAAGGGAGAGAAATTGACCCAAACCGAAGTAGTTTATTAACGCATCTCACTAGAAAGCACGGTGTGACAGGAGCGGTACAGGTGACATTAGTCCCGTTTACTGACCCAATATACTGACACTGTACACTAACCCTAACCTGGCATATTGGACCCCGAACTTCCATTTCTGGGACTACCATTCCTGTCACGCCTGGGATCGATCCAAAACCGTTCAAACCAGTCAGCACAGGGCTCGCCAGCTGACGTTCATTGACGTCATTGCAGGATACAACTTAATCAAGCTGTTTAAATACCATCTCCAATACCAACGGACGAAATAAACACTCTCGCGTACATATTAAATGCGTACATTTGTCCCATAATGCACTTGTCCTGAAAGAAAATCATTAAAGTTTCGTTTCCATGCACACCAGAGAACGAACCCGCATTTTAATATATAAGCATCAGTGGCGGATTTAGAGGGGTGCCTTCTTGAAATTAGAATTTTGACTAGCTGAATCATAGTTCTAAACCGTACCAAATGGCAACGTTCGCCCTCTTAAATACCAAAAATTTCGCCAAGGAGTGGGGGGGGCTATCTGCTGACCCCCCCCCCCCCCTTTTCAAATAATCCTGGATCCGCTTCTGAGCATCTCGTGTATCCTTATGTAGACGTAACCTCTCCAGAATTGTAGATGGTGGTTTATTATTTAGTACTAAATTCATTCCCAAACCACTTCCAGATAAATGAGTGGCAGGAATAGCACTTCATCGTGTGGATGTGAGAGTAACACTCGCGTATGCCAATTCTGACAGTGAACATAGAAGGACTGGTTGAGTTGAGAGTGTATAAAAGCGACTTTGGGCGTTTTGGTTCTAGTAGTCGACTTCACGGAGAAATTTGAAAGAGAATTAACTTTATGATAACTTGGATACATAAGGAGGAATTTGGTGTGCGCTGTCTAATTTGATTCAGCACAATTTATTTTTTCGAAACAGACGAGCAGTCGTCAGTCATGACAGCAACTTAGAAGAGCCATTAAAGTAGTATTTAAAAGAAGATTTGTGACAGTGAAGCGTCTTTCTGGTATGTATAAGGTAAAATAGACACATTTTGATGTTTCAAAATAATACAAATTGGTACCTTTCAAGTACAGAATCCCGTGGTACGTTTACGATTTTAAACGTTATTTTAAGTTCAGAACATTTTGTAAATGTAGATGGTCGCCGGTTGTAATTTTTTTTTTTTTTTTTTTTGTCTTTCCACAACTCAAAGGAGAACATTTGAGTGGTGCACATGTTTTGTACAGATTGTGCATAACTGTTTATCATCACTCCATTTACAGTTAATTCTTTCCACACTGGACGATAATATTTACCCAGTACTATAGTATAATGATATTAAAATAATGGTGGGAAAGCCAAAATTATGCAAATTTTGCACAAAATCTGTGCATTATTGACCTGATTCATATGTTCGCTTTTCTAGATTTATTACTTAGAGGATACAGATCTTCTCTCTCTTTTTGCCCTCCCTTTTCGTAAACAAACTGGAAATGATTATTATCAAATCTTTTTCTCTTGATGTATTCCTTCACATACAGACTTGGCACTTATTACGGAATATTTTTTTCCAAATCATTTTCACCAGTTTAATTTCTTCCTATTTTGCTGACTGCTAAACGAAAATAAGGATTACAGTCGCGTTTTAATATCTTTTAATAATCCTTATGATGTCATTGTGACATCAGTTCATTAATCGAATTCGCCAGTAAAGCAAACAAAAATACATTGCCTATTCTAAGGCATACGACAACCGTTAAAAGCGATATTTTGGATCTCCATATTTTCCAAATTATCATCTGTAAAAGAGTTACACGCTCCACAAAAGACCCTAATGTTAGTTTCTAGTCACAGCAACGGTCGCTGTTACCCCTAGGGCTCTGAAGCCGCAAGAAATTCCTTGGGAGAGGTTTTTAGAGTTTAATCTGGAATAACATTCCAGGCATCGGTTAAAACTTGTCCAATTCGGTTTAGTTTTGTTGTAGATCATGTAGGCCGTTGATTCGGCGAGTAATGACCTACTCACATATTGTCTTTATGGTTCAAATATGGCGATTTTGATGACCAAAGTAGCTGCTCATTCCCTTGTTTCTGTAAGTTATCTGCGATTAAAGTGCTCTGTGTGAACCGCATTCTCAACGTGCAGCCTCAAATTGTTCCTAAGGTGCCCGCTATCAAATGATAGTCAAGTGACTCCCAGATTATTCCTTTATTTGATGTGGTTCAGGTTTTCATCGATGACTACCATTGGTGTTGTGGCACCAATGTGGTATTCACTCCAAATACTGACGCTGTCAATGGCCTTAGTCACTTAGGATGTGGCACACGCTTCGTCGTGGGCCTCTTCAGGATGTCTGTAAACTCTGTTTTGACTAGTTGAGCGGAAAAGATTAATTTTGACCTCAATTAAGAAAGACGCAGTTTCAGTGTTCTACCCAGAAACGGTCATGGTCCCCAATTTATTAGAGAAACAGGCGACAATATTTGCTGTTTACAGTGGCTTCCTCAGAGGTCGTCTGGTAATCTAACCTGCCAAAACCAGTTTGGTCTTCGCTACGGGCCTTGAAAAAAACGCGTTCTGGTGGCAATTTGCCCCTCATTCTGAAAGGACAAGTTTGTTTTTGCTTAGTTGCAGCAGCATATCCAGAAGAACAGCGAGTCCTGTACCCTGGTGATAAGATTTCGATACATTGGGTGTGATCTCTGTGTAGGTACGGTACATCAGCCTGGGCATAACTCTATGAAACTGAGCCTACCGTTCTTTTTGACACAATAATCTGTCTGGCAATGTCCGTCTTTTTGTGCACCTTTCTGGCACAGAGGGACAATTATGTAAAACACCACTTAACTCATTTTATGCACTGCAAAATCGACCGCTTGCCTGCAAAATTTGAGATTCATCTATGCAGTAGTTGCCGACATATGGAAACTTTTTGACCGAACCATGCTTTGCCAAAGCCAAGCTTTGACCAGTCCAAAGAAGCAGTACCCAATTAAATCACTGAGTATTTCACAATTCAGCAGTGCAACACACATGATACTTTGATAGTCAGTTAATTGGTAGCGACACCCCTGACTACACACTTCCCAAATCACATATCTTATATGAGATGTGGCTTTTTTTTTTTAACGAGTTTTTTACCTAGGCATACCTTTGAAACTGAAATATTCCATATCAAATGTCAAGACTGTACATTTATCTATGCGAATATTACTTCAATAACTGCCGTAATTGCGAATTTAATCGGGCAGAATTATACACAGTGGCGTGAAAANTTTTTTTTTTTTTTTTTAAACGAGTTTTTTACCTAGGCATACCTTTGAAACTGAAATATTCCATATTAAATGTCAAGACTGTACATTTATCTATGCGAATATTACTTCAATAACTGCCGTAATTGCGAATTTAATCGGGCAGAATTATACACAGTGGCGTGAAAAAGTGATGTTATTATTTTTGTAAAGTGATGTGAAAAAGTGATGTTACTATATATTAATTAATTGATTCGATTTTTATTTATTGATTTATTTTTGTACAATAGTGCAAGAAATGTGCAAGTAATACTGCACGCTTTTAAAGCCGTACCGAAGACAGTTAACAAGTTCGAATGTGGGATAGCTGTCGCTCGCGCGCGTGCACACACACACACACACACACACATCTCAAACTGTTGCTGTGAAATAAGCCTACTACTTCATCTTCTCATTGCAGGAAAGATACAGTCAAACGACAGGCGCAGCATCCCAGAAACCACAATTACTTAGAACCAGTCCCTACATCGCTGTTGCTTCATCGATAGGAAAGTGTATCAACGGCAATCTGCATAAAATAGTAGAACCTCGTAAGAACACGCCTACTAAATATAAGACTATCCAGCATGAGTGAGCCGTTCCAGGAACACCGAGGTAATCGGCTTTGATGTTCCAATTGAATCCCATGTGAATTCAAAGGACCGATCAAAGGACACAAGTTTCATCATGTTGAACAAAACCGCTAACCTGGGCTCCAACTTCGCCAGCGACTACCCAGGCCTGTCCCCACAGGAGCTCTGCTGGGTGTTCCAAGGAAATTGCTGGTGTGCCACGATCTACGTCCTGACCATCATTGGATTCGTGGGGAGCCTCTTAACCTTTATTGTTGTCCTCCGCAGTGAGCGTCTCCGTTCGAAGTCCACATTCGTCTACCTGTTGTTCTTGGCGGCAGTTGACGAGTTCGTGCTATTGTACCTCTCAGGGGAGTGCCTAAACTTTCACCTGAGCCCCCCTTCAACTGATCAAGTCTGCATGATCGAATCTGTAAGGTACGTCGTGAGTGACACCTTCGTGTATCTGTCCGTGATCTACGTGACGGCAGTGACGGTTGAGAGACTGATCATTGTAAAATGGCCGTTGAAAGCTGCATATCTGTGCCGAAGGCGGACGGCCATCGTAGCGTGCGTCGTGACCGCTTTTGTCGTCTTGGCCTTCAACTGCTATAACTTATCTATGTGCTACGTTGGGATTGAAACGATAAGCTTAATCATTACAGCCGGCGATTACATGTTCATAACAATCCACGTCATCTTGGGTTTGACGATCGCAGTTTTAACGGCTATCATCATCTTCGAATTGTCGCGCTCCAGTGCCAGACGCCGGCAGATGATGACGGCGACACCAGCAGCGAGGGCAAGTTCAGGGTCAACAAGGGAGTCATTCGCCCAGAAAACCCACGTTTTGCTCCTGACCACGCCCATTTCTTTCACCATTTTGGCGTGGCCCAAATATGGTTTTGACATCTGGTTGGCGACGATGGAGATTCAGGGTTATGCATTAGGCGAAGATATACCGATGATTTATAACGTTGTCAGAGAAGCGTTATTTTTGCTGAGTAAAGTAAACCATTGTATTAACTTTTACCTCTATGTCGCCTCTGCACCTGTTTTCAGAAATGAAATTAGACGTGCGTTTTGCAGACCAGGGAGGTTGGCAAAAACGAATCCACATCCAAATAACATTCACGACAGTAGATCAAGCGTGCGTACTGTATCA